GGAGACAAGAGCTAATTACGAATTGAACTCTTATCGTATGTATGTACATTAACCAAATTTTAGATGATTGAAAAAAATTATCAACTGTTCTGGATCACTGACGACCGAAATAAATATTAACATTGCGTGGTACGGAGACTCATTACCAATTAAACTTTCGTCGCGTACGCATCAATTAAATATTAGAAGTGAGCTAAATAATATTTGTGAATATTCCAAATGTTCAAACATTATCTAATACTTAAAGAATGTTAAAAATGTTGAAAGTGAATGCGATAAAAGTGTTAAAAGTTAATTAAAAGTGAGATTGTGAACTGTGTGCTAACGCATATCGCTGAAGAGAGTTTGAGAAGCAGAAGCATCAGCAGATGTGTTCAAGAAGTTCGAAGGCATCGAACATAATCAAATCCAACTCAACCAAACCTTCATTTACTTAATTCTGAGTTCAACGATCGGTAAGTTGTATGGTATGGTTTCTTTGGTGTTGGGTATTATATATATTAATACTTGATCGTGATTATTTGAATACGAATTCAATTTCCACGACTTGTTGACATCGTAATCATACAATATACTTTACTAGTTACCATTCTTTAACAATTACCCTTGAGATACACATTATATTTCTGCATGTAAATAACATTAGTATAAAAATAATATTGCTATTCAGAATTTCTTTTTGAATTTATAATTTGGAAAATATAATTTAGCCCTTTAATATTAACTAATCAAACAAGAATATTTCTTCAATATCTTAAATTAATCATTAGATCGGTCAAACAATTGTGCCTTATTTTACGAATACCATTCCTCTTTCTAACACATTATTTAAATTCAATACAAGCTAAAACCTGTGAGAAAAATATACAAAAGACTATTGATTTAAAATACGTTATAATGAGACCCGTGCGTAGTCACCTCCACGTGGTGGGTCTTGGCAATTGATATCGTTTTACAAACATTAAAGTTTGTAAAACCGTTATCAAGCTAAATTGTAAAACGATAAACATTAACGTATGTGAAACGATATCAAGCTAAGAACTACGCAACCTACAGTTCAGTTTAGATCGTGAAAATTTCTGTTCATTTTCTATTTCACGATCCAAACTGAACTGTAGGTACAACTAGTTGATAAGTAAACTATTTGACTCCCCAGCGGGGCACCGTGGGACGACGAGGGATCACGCAGGGACATCGTGGGATGCATGCGTCTTGGTGTTAAGTTACGTGCGTTTAGTTTTAGTTAATTATAAGATAGTTAATATTTGTAACTTCACTGTGAGCGCATTCTGTGACAAACAAAGACACGTTTATTTAACCTGAGACGAAATTAAAGATACCACTTTTCTTCTCTTCCTTCGCCCGTTATTACTATTGTAACTGTCATTGCACTAGAGCAGAGATACATTTGTTACTGTCATTGCGCTAGAGTAGAATTACTTTTGTTACTGTCATTGCACTAGAGTAGAGATACCTTTGTTACTGTCATTGCACTAGAGTAGAATTACTTTTGTTACTGTCATTGCACTAGAATAGAATTACTTTTGTTACTGTCATTGCACTAGAGTAGAGATACTTTTGTTACTGTCATTGCACTAGAGTAGAGTTACTTTTGTTGCTGTCATTGCACTAGAGTAAAGTTTCCAAATTTCGTTGTCAGTGTGTCAAATCGGGGAACTGCAGCCTCGTTCGAATCGAACGAGGTGAGGTTCATGTAGTCTAGTCCTTTGTAATCCGACTCCAGTGGTTCTACGGAACCCCACTGTGTCGTTGAGGGTTGAACTAGACTACTTGCCTCTAAGTGCTCGAACCCCGACTTGGCACACTGATAGCGAAAGTTGGAAACTCTCCTCTAGTACAATGAGAGTAACATACCGCGGTTTCATTTCGCGTTATATCTCTTGAAAAACACGATATTGAAGCGTGTTAATAGTTTCGTTCACCCAATTTCGTTCAAAGTTCGATAAACCTGTCTTTGATACAGAATGCGCTGTTAGGGCTGCGAATTATTGTTGTGTAAGATTCATGTTGGATGAGTGTGTGGTTAGTATGAAAGGCTGCGAGTGATTGTGACATATTGTGTGACTTGCATTCGTATGGAATAGTATGTAATGTATGTAATGTATGGAATGTATGATTGTATGGAATAGTATGTAATGTATGAAATGTATGTAATGTATGGAATGTATGATCATATGGAATAGTATGTAATGTATGGAATGTATGATTGTATGAAATAGTATGTAATGTATGTAATGTATGACTGTACGCAATGTATGTAACGTATGATCATATGTAATGTATGTAATGTATGGAATGTATGTAATGTATGGAATGTATGGAATGTATGTAATGTATGGAATGTATGGAATGTATGATTGTATGTAATGTATGTAATGTATGGAATGTATGGAATGTATGATTGTATGTAATGTATGTAATGTATGGAATGTATGGAATGTATGATTGTATGTAATGTATGTAATGTATGGAATGTATGGAATGTATGATTGTATGTAATGTATGTAATGTATGGAATGTATGGAATGTATGATTGTATGTAATGTATGTAATGTATGCAATGTATGACTGTATGTAATGTATGCAATGTATGTAACGTATGATCATATGTAATGTATGTAATGTATGGAATGTATGACTTTACGCAATGTATGTAACGTATGATCATATGTAATGTAATGTACAATTGTTAACGCGACCGTTGTTTGGAAGACAGAGTTCCATAATTCAATCTCATATATGCACGTTAGAGTTACGATTTATACTTAAGTTTGAGATTGAACTATGGAACGTTTGTCTCCTTTGTTCGTAACTCCGGGCCAAGTAGAACAAAATCTCGGCATTCATTAAGAATGCCGAGTTATTTGCATATAATGGAGGGTGGTTGGGAATAGGGCCCGGGGTGGGTCTCGTGCGTAGTCACCTCCTCGTGGTGAGACCTGGTAATTGATATCGTTTTACAAACTTTAATGTTTATCAAGCTAAGTTGTAAAATGGTAAATGATATACTTTAATGTTTGTGAAACGATATTGAGCTAAGAACTACGCAACCTACAGTTCAATTTAGATGGTGAAAATTTCTGTTCATTCTCTATTTCACGATCTAAACTGAATAGTAGGTACAATTAGTTGATAAGTAAACTATTGGGCCCCCGGCGGGCCATCGATGGACGAGGGATATCGCAGGGACAACGTGAGATGCGTGCGTTTAATTTTAGTTAATTATAAGATAGTTAGTATTTGTAAATTCACTGTGAGCGCAGTCTGTACAAAGACACGTTTATTTAACTTGAAACGAAATTAGGGACATTTCCTCTCCGCTCTTCTTTCATTCGTTGTTACTATCAGGCATTGCACTAAAGTAGATTTTCCAACTTTCGTTGTCAGTGTGTCAAGTCGGGTAACTGCAGCCACGTCCGAAAGGACGAGATAGATTCTTGTAGTCTAACGTCCTCTGTAATTCGGCTCCAGTGGTTCCGAAGAACCCGATCGCGAGAAATTCGATGTAAAATAACTCAATTACGAGGGAACTGTACTACGAGCGTTTCGTGACTTCTTGCGGTAAACATGCGTTCACGACAGTAAAAAACGTTTCATTATTCCGAAGATACTTTCCATGGAAACTGGTTGTCGATGCATGAATCTATCTCGTTCTGACATCTAGGCTATCCTCATTCGAATGGAACCATCATTCGAGCAATCTGTTATATGTTTTGGTTTAACAATCTTTCGCGTATCATTTTGTACATGCGACAAATTTTATATAGATTCAGTTTCTTTCTTTTCTGGTGCATGTACTTATGTTTGGATGCATATGCTTCAAATGGCGTAATAAACCAGTAGTATTTAAATACTTGGTTTTAAATTCATGGTGACAATGTATATATTCCACCTTTGTTCCCAAACAGAGCTTCAATTTACCTTCTTCCTTTACACGATATCTTCCGCACTATTTCCTACCACAACTTTACTCTCACGACATTTTCTTTCTTTTAAAGATTTTTAATCTTTATTAAATTTACACAGATTTTGAAATATACATCTGAGCTTTTCGAATTTCTCAGCGATACTGCTCAACAGCGTACATAATGTCCAAGTAGTGAGCACGCAGTCACACGTTCGTTTACATCAGGTTACACGATTCTTAGAATCCGTGTTTTCAGTAATTTCACTGGCAGAAGAAATTGAACTGTACTATTTACATATTTTCTAGGCTGTTGTACAGCATTGTAGAGTAGTTCGAGAAACGGTAGCCACGTTCTCGAAATTTTCGGGAATCTTGACTTTTGGGGGAAACCCGATTCCTTCGGGAATCTCGAAATTTTCGGGAATCCGACTCGACTTCTTCCTGACCATCGGGTTCTCGCACATCCCTAAAATTACAGTATTTATTGTTGTAAAATTAATGGGGACTTACAATAAAACTGTAAAATTGAAAAATTTTAACTAAAACATAAAAACTGTAAAACTATTGATTACTGTGATAAAAATAGTGTTTTTGAAAGTATTGACAAAGACACTACCACCTGTTGTGCATCGCTGACTTTTACCTTTATCTGATGGTTGAGCAGCGAAAAATGGTCATTATAAGTTGAACACAGAGTTGGGCATATTTTATTCCAACGAATAACGAATAAAATACTGTCGTAAATAACGAATAACAATTTTATTCGAGAAAGAATTATTCATTATTTACGAATTACGATTTTATTCGAGGAAAAATTTTACGAATAACGATTTCGAATAAATTCTACGAATAAAATTTTATTCGAATAAAACTTCTACCGTTTATAACTCAGTCAAAAGCTCCACAAAAAAAGTAATAGATCCAATCTCCCACTCAGCTCTTAGACTAGCCACAGGTATATACCGAACATGCTCCATAAACAGCCTACTATTCGAAGCCAAAGAAATGGCACTTGAATCCAGAAGGAGGTTCCTAACTCTTAAATACGCACTAAAAGTCTCATCCACTCTAAATAATCCTTCCTACAACAACATCTTCTCCAATAGATACAAAGCTTTCTACATCAATAAACCCAAAATTCCCTCCCCTTTCCATATCAGACTTACCAAAATGCTTCAAAATCCGCCCCACCATTGAACGCAAACCACCACAAATCCCTCCATGGACGATAAAAGCATTCCCAACTAACACCAGCCTTGCCGAACTCCCCAAAAAAATCCTCAGCCCAAATGACCACAGAACTCGATTTTTAGAACTTAATAACAACTACTCCCAACACAGCAAGATTTACACAGATGGGTCAAAAACGGACACTGGAGTTGGATACGCCATTACCACTGAAAAAGCTAAAAAAACACAAAATCTTCCTACTTCATCATCCATCTTCACAGCCGAAACTTATGCTATCCTGGAAGCCATCAAATATGCACACTCAAATAACGAAGCCCAGATCGTCATATACACCGACTCCATGAGCGTTACAAAATCTCTAACGAAATCATACGATCAAGAAAACCAATTAATATCCACCATCCAAGAACTAAACCACAACCAACCTAACACAAACGCCACAGTCATCTGGATTCCAGCTCATCAAGGAATAAAAGGAAATGGAAAAGCCGACGCAAAGTAGCAAAAGAAGCCACAGCTCCCTCACTTATTAACAGTCGCAATCATCTTCCAATCCCCTGCGACGACCAAATAATCCCACTGCAAAAGAAGTAGCAAAAAATGAATGGAACGATACATGGAAAACAACTAAAAGCACCCAACTACACAAAAGTATCCAAGACTTTCACTAGTCAAACACCAAACATTAGCAACAGGAAAGAAGGAATAATTATCTCACGCCTAAGAACCAGTCATACCAAGCTGACACATGAACACAAAATCAAAAAAAAACTACACCACCCACCTGCACTCATTGGAATAACCATCCACATACTGCACGAATGCCACACCACAGAAATCCAAAGACAGAAATACGGAATCAACGCAAACATAAAACTGACTTCTCAAAATGACATACAAAGAGTATTAAAATATCTCAGAAACAAACTACTACACGCATATGTGACCTCACTGTCGATGCGACATTAAAGAAAAATAGAAGAAGAAGAAGAAATTCTTCGAATAAAAATCTACATATTTCTATGTTGGTTCGTGAATTTGACAAAATTTACAGGGCGTGCCATTTTTTTGTCGCGGACTGTAGCCACCTGTTGTGGCGAACGTGCGCCGAACCGTGCACGATGACCATGCTTCTCCCTGACAGTGTCCTGCTTAGTCGTTGACCGAACAAAACCGTTCGCGCGAGTGTTAATCAACCGGTTTTGCCAGCGGTGGGCCATCATCTGGGCGCGCGACGGAAACGTCCTTGAAAAACTAAACACGGAATTACCCGTATAATCGATCGATATATATACAGGAAACTAGCACGAACAGCCCAATTTGAACGTGTTTTCCGGATCGCTACCGATCCTCTCCGCCGTTACCCTTTGTTTCGTTGTGCAAAGTGCGAAGTACGATCACGTGCAAGGCCAATAGAGATAGCCAGGTTGGCCGCTGCAGCTATGATTAATCGATTTCACCCTCGGACTAACGACTTCGGAACGTGGCCAAGTGCCGCTGCTGCCACTTCGACCTTTCCGGCACGTGCAACACACACGTGTACGTAGTTTTCGAGTTTTTGACGCGAGATAAAAATTGCTGAAATTAATACGGCCGATTCTTCTTGTTGAGAGAGGCCCGAGGCTTCTTTTGCGAAAAATTGGCCGAGAAATGTGCCAAAGGAAACTGATCGCGAGGCAAGTTGTGGCACGTTTCTCCTTTAAATTAGTTATACTTAGAGAAATTTGATAAAAAATGTCCTCCTTGGTCCTCCCCCTTTAAGGAAACGAATGGCCAAATTTTGACACCGTGTTCTGCTGCACCTGGGGAAGAAAAAAATGCAATTTGTGACAAAAAAAAAAAAAAAAAAGAATGACACGCCCGAGATATTTGGTGTTATTATAATTTTCGTATAATGAATTAATTTATTTTACACATATATACATATATATGTATACTTGCGATAATATAAATTTTATAATGAGACTATAATAATAAAATTCTATATAATACAATAATATATATAATATATATTATGTAGAATTTTATTATTTATATATATATTTATATATATTTAATTATTATAATTATATCTATAACATTTATATATATTTATATATATAATATATAAAGCCCATAAAGTCTCTTTACAATTTCAAAAATTTATTACAAAGGCAAATAAAAAGACAGATGAGTGAAAATTATTACAAACTGAAACGAATATATTTAAGTTTTTTTCTGCCTCGTTTAATACACCTCTATATGGGCACCATTAGTTGCACGAAGCATATCAAAACGGTACTCGATTTCTTACACGATCGATGTTTTCCTCAGGTATCTTGGTCGTCCATTCCTCCCTTTGTCGAAAACACTGTCCCTGTCTTCATAAATTTCTCGTGCCATGAACGAATTGATGGACGTGACGGTGCATCCCTTCCATACTTAGTTCTGAAGTTTCGCCGAGTCTGCAGATCCGATTTGGTTTCAATAAACCATGATACGCATTGTGCCTTCTCTCGAGGAGTAGCCATTTTGTAAAGGGTTCATTTAACAGTATTTTATTCATCAACAGGGTACCTGAAATGCAATATGATAAAAACCTTGATAACCACCGAGTACATGGAACAAATCTGACAATGATATCTCATCAATTGCCTCTGTAAATTTTTGAAATTGTAAAGACTTTATGGACATCCTGTATATACATGTATAGTATTATTTTATATATAGAAAACTTTGAGAGAAAAATGCCTACAGGATATTAATCGTTTAATATCATTATCAAATTACGAAATATTCTTTTCGTCCTCACAATTGAAAAAGATATTTGAAGACCGTACTTAAATAAGACACTTTGCATGCGTGCTGACTATCGTTTGATTTAGAGTTTCACTTCTAATTGGAGGAAATAATTTCTTTTTCGTTAGATAGATGGATATATTTGCAGTTTGAACAGACAACTTTATCTATTCTTTTACGCAGGGGCAATTGCTCGCGTTGCCCTGCAGGGCCAGTTGCCTTTCACGCAAATTGCACAATCGTTTGTTGCGATGGTTTTTGGTACACCCGTGACGTTGACACCTGGCACATTCTGGTGGATTTCTATTTGCTTTGGCTGGCTCGATTTTTACTAAAGTATTGCAAATGACAGTTGCACTGTATACTCCTTTGTTGTTATTTTCTTGTTCCAAATCCACTGCAAATATTGGCACGCCTGGGAAAAAAGTACCTAGAAACGCTTTTTGTGAGGTTGACAATGTTGACAGTGTTGCTTTGTGTCCTTTTGGCTGTAGTTTCTTTTTCATGGATCTTGTAATCTCGTTTTATTTTTATTTTGTTTTAAATTTCCTTTCCACTTTTGATTGCTGTGTCAAAAGCTTCTCTACAACTTTCGCTTAAATCAAGTAGCATTTAATAGTTTGTGTATATTACAAAAAGCTTTAACCATGTCAAAACTGAAGGTACTATTTATACAGGGGGTGTCCCTTATGAAACCAACCACGCAATTTCTGCAAAACCTTCATGAAATATTAGTAACATAATGTAGTTTGCATATTATTTTGTAATTTTTATAATATATATATATCAATTTAAATAAAAATAAAATTGAAGTTAAATGCACCCATCTCAACCACCTGCTATAGGAATAATATTCGTTTCTTTAGTTTTATTTTTACAGAATAGTATCTTTAAAATTAATAGAAAATTTTTATGTAATAACAAATTTTCTAAATTATATCTATTTATCTTGTATATCATTTTTACCGGTTTTGAAACAGGTTTTAAAAAAAGTACTAAAAAATACCGTCGTGATTTTTTGTATACATTGAATTTTAAATTAAAGTCAAATTTATTTGCCCAACGTCATTAGGAAAAAATAATTAAGAAGAAAAGCAAAGATTCGATTGAAATTCTTATCTCAAATTTCAATTCTGTGGTTGCAGTGTATCGACAAAAAGCGATTTAAATAAAAAGTTTTGATTATGATGAAATACAAGAGTATGTAATAATAACGAATGATCCAAAAGAAGAATTATCTCTTAATGAGGAATCTTCGTAACGAGTTTGTCAGAATCAGAATCGGAAAAACATTACTATCTTTATAAAAAAAAAAAAAACAGAACATTTATATTTTTATAAATAATTATTTCCTAACAAAAGAGACCTATTAATGTAAACAAATAATAAATTCTTTTGTAAAAATTTTCACTCATAATCAGAGAAGAGTTATTATTTTTTTTGCCATTTTCTTTATTGGACACTGTGATGACGTTTAAAGCAGCAATATCGAAAGGGTTATTAATCATATATTTTATTAAATATAATAAATAAAATATATAATTAATAAATAAGAAAAAATCTTTTTAATATCTCAAACACCAAGTCACGATTTATTTTTTTGTTTTTGACCTACATTTCTCAATATTTCGTATTCTGTTAATTGACTGGCAGTCGTGTAACAACTTTGTTGCTGTCTTTTACCGTAATTTAGCCAACTTTAAATTCACTTCTGATATTTCCGAGTTGCATTGGTGGGGCAGAAAGGCGAGTTGAAAGGGCAAGGAACAATGAGCAAGGTTGAGACGTGGAAACTGCGTCGTTTAAGAAAAAGGAGAAAGAGGGTAATTACCTAGAGAAGGAGACCGACTCTCACCGATCTCAATGACTTCGAAATATGTCGTCAAGGTCGTTCTGAACGACCTTTCTCTTCTATAATAGCTGCTGCTCGCTCTTGAATTTCGAGATACAAGAAACATTTTTTGGCGAAAATTTTCAAAAATGTGTCGCTTCCGATTCGAAGCGAAATTTCGAAGATATCTCATTTAGACGACGAATGTAATTTGGAAAATGCCGTTTTAATATTTTCCCTGTTCCAAACACAAAAAAAAAGAAACTTCCAACAAATGTCGAAATCTGCAACAATTTCAGGTTTCTCTTATAGAAACGAGTTTGAAATAGCTGTTTAGTTAACTAATAATATTTACTTGTAATTAATATCTACTTGGAGCAAATAATTTTATTATAATAATTTTATTACTTGCTCTAAGTAAATCTTGATCTTGATGTAGAGTTTAACTTACCAAATTCCTTAATTATTAATGTTTAAATGTACATGTAATAATCAGTTTTTTTTTTCGTTTACTATTTATATTTTAATTTCATGATATTTTGTTGATAGTAACAATGTTATTCTGTTGTGATAAAATTAAAAAGATCATGATCTATAAACAATTTAAAACTTTAAATATATTAGTATATTTTCTGGATCATTTACTGAGACATGCACTTTTGTAATTCAAGCACTGACGTTTTATCCACTTCAGACCAATCAATCGTCACTTTCTTCATCGCTGGTTTCTGATCTACTAATTATTGGATTTATATTTTTTCCAAGTCTTTTGAGAGTGCCAATAAATTCAGAACTTTTTTAAATTGTTACCTAGTTTTATCACTAGAACTTTCATCATCAATTGTTTTATAAAATTGTACGAAAAATATATGAAAACAAAGTAAAAATAAATTTCACGAAAACCGATAAGAGTCAATATTTAATTACGCGAAATAAACTATACCAAAAGACAGAAAATCAAATGAATTCAATCTGGTGCCACGTACGATTCCATATATATATATATATATTTCTGCGCAAATCCAAGTCTTTGACACTTTAAATGTTAACATGTTTCTTTCTAAACTTTCTATAAAATTTTTATACTCTTTTTTTTTCTCTTCAAACTTTACCAAACTCCGTTTCGCTTAGATGTAGATGCTCTCGGTCATTAAAAGGGGTTAAACACACAATCAGACCTAAAGAAAAAGAAAAATATAATAAAACAGGGGGAAAAAAAGCAATGGTCGTTTTTATTAAAGAACTGTACAGAGTGTAATAATAACCAGTTGCGGCGATTCCTCTTAATTACAACAACGATCCACGAGGGAAACGAACGCCTCCGACGTTTTTTTTTTTTTTTTCTTCCACCGAGCGAGACTCGACAATGGAGGACTACGGTTTAATCGTGTTTCCCGATATTGAACCCTTTTTCAGCCAACCACGAAGAGTCGATGACAGACAAACCGCGGAGGTAGCATCTTCCGGTGGCTACAATCTCCGTGAACAGTATTAACGATGGTTTGCTGCCGTGTAACGTCGAGGAAGGATGTATGGCAACTGGCTGCTTCGAGCTCACCTACACAAACAAACAATCCAATTACTCCTAAATTCTCGTTACCCAGTCACCGCATCGGGTGCAACACTCTGCGCTAGTAGCAGGGAAAACGTACTTAAACCGAGACCTATACCTCAAAGAAACTAGTTTTAAGCTTCAAATTCTATCCGTGGAGAGAGAGAGAGAGTGCTTCTTGTAAACTTTTCGCAACTCTTTCGTCTCGACAATAAAAACGCGAAAACGGTGTTTGCTTTTTCTTTGGAAAATTGGAGTCGAAGTTCGATCGCGCGTGATTAAGGGAGTATTTTGGTAATTCGGCTTGAAAAACTCGACTTTTTTGGGGGGATTTTTTTTCTAAGGAACAATACGATACATTTTGGTATGCAGTTTTTGCATACAGACTTATTCATACTTGAAAAGTATTTAAAATTTTTTTTTTTTTAACAAAATTAACGAAAGTTGTGGAAATGATATAGCCTTGGGTAAAGCATGTTTTTAAAAACAGATTCGAATGGCCGATTCCGGTCCACCTGGTTATTTGAAACTGAAAAACCAAAATGCATCTTAATTGGTATAAATATGGCTATCGCATGAACCACGGAAACAGCGAAATTTCGAAAATTAAAAAAACGGTAGCATTTTGAAGTTAAAATATCGATTTTCCTTGTGCTTTTCGTCCTTTGGGTGGTAAACAAAAATAGAAAAAAACATCAGATTTTGAAATGCGATAAAGGTACATTTGGTGAAAATCTCCCCTAAATTTTAAATCAATCGGTCAGTTAAAACATCAGATATCCCGTCAGTCAGTTTAAAAAATATGGATTTGAGAAAAACACATTTGAAGTTTCTGTTACCCGTTGTACAAAAATATTCATACTTACGATCAATCGAGCAGTACAAAAAATAGAATATTATAAAATAATAATAATATAAAAATAAATAATAATATTATAAAATAAAATATTTTTTGAGAAAAACACATTTAAAGTTTTTGTTACCCATTGTACAAAGATATTCATACTTACAAGGAGTACACCGTTTCCTTTAAACATCTGTAACTTTGCCAATTTCACGAATTCAAAAAAAATCCTTTTACACAGGCATTCTCGAAAGCATATACTTTGAGAAGACGTAAAAAAAAAAAGAAAAAATTGATTTTTTTTAATCCAGATTACCAAAATACCCCCTTAATCACTTGCCTTGCGATTTCTTTTCCAAAGTTCTTAGACAAACTTGTCAATTAAGTGGAAACTTACACTTTTCAATTTCATTTATCTTGACTTGTATTCGAAATAAATTTCCTTGATACCACTAAATAATCATGTTGTGTTTTTTGGCTGGTGAATAATAAATGATTTACTTCACAGAAGCTAGTTTGATTAACATTCTAATAGTTGCAATAGTGCGATTCTAATGTTTGTAAGAATTCAGTTAATTAAATGAATTTTTAGACTGGCCTCGGGAAATTAAATATACAGGATGTTTCGTAACTTGTGGGACCTGATTGTACGCCTAAAAATAATGAAAAAAAAAAAGTGACGTAAATATATGTCCTATCTGTCTTCGTTTATGAGATGTAATGAATTTTATAAACAGAGCAAACTCTAGTAAGCTAGTTTTACCAGGAATGGTATATTCAATTTTCATAATAATCATAACTGGGATGAAGAAAACCCACGTGGTATTGTGCATTCAAGACATCAACATCAGTTTAGTTTAAATTTAGTATGGGCAGGAATAATTGATAAATTTTTAATTGGACCTTTTTTTCTTGATGGGAAACTAAAAGGCACAAAGTACGTTGATTGTTTGAGCACGCGTTTACACGAAATATTAGAGGAAGTTCCAGTCGATATTAGATTATTCGTACGTGGTTTATGCATGATGGAGCTCCGCCACATTTTAGCCGAATGGCTAGGCAATTTTTAAATCAACACTTTGCAAATAAATGGATCGGTCGTGGAGGTCCTATTGGTCTGGCCTGCTCGTTCTCCGGATTTGAATCCATTAGAGTTTCATTTGTGGGGACATTAAAATCTATTGAACATGCTGAAATACTACGAAATAGAATAGAGCAAGGCTTCCGACAAATTCGAGAAACAGCAGGAATGATAGAGAGAGTAACCAGATGAATGACAAGACGCGTGCAGGCTTGTCTTCAAATGCAAGGTGATCATCTCGAGAATCTTTTGTAAAAGTAATTAAAACAGAAAATTCATTATATCTCATAAACGAAGACAGATAGGACATATATTTACATGACGTTTTTTCATTATTTTTAGGCGTACAATCAGCTCCCGAAGTGGGTCCCACAAGTTACGAAACACCCTGTGAAAACACCCCTAAAATTAATCAGTCAGAGTCGTTCAATCGACGATCGTGCGCTGTGAGAAAAATAAAAGAAAAAAGATAGAGAAGAAAAAGAAAAAGGAAATGTACTCACGGTGATATAAGTCTGATCCCTCTGCAATTCGGCGAGATTATCGTAGAGGCCCTCGAGGAGTGTTTTCCTGAGTTGTTCGGTATTTGTCCCGCAGCTGGCCTTCTCCAGGTTCGCGCGTTCGGCCAGCATGGCGAGCTGTTGTCGCACCGACGCCGCGTATTCCAGATTTCTGTGATGCAGAAAGTTCTCGTGACACCAGGCCTTCTTCTGCTTCGTATTGCTGTACGCCCGGAAAACGTTCAGCAGCATGACGTGGTCTCCCTCGGGTGAGGCGAATCTGGAACGAAACAGCCGTAACAAGCTGCGAGTATCGATCACATCATCCGCCGATCTGTTTGACGTTTTAACTCTCGGAAAGCCGATGAAAGAAACAGTTCGCCGGGTCGCTGGTGACCCAAATTTGACTACTCATTACAGGTATTTTAAATTCACCTCTAATGGCGCTGAACGATGCGGCTGTGTTCTAGAAAATACAGTGAAAATTGTACACACAGGGAAACTGTTGAAAAATTGTCGATAATTTCAACTGAATTTTGGAACACGTCCTCACACTTTGTCGCGGTAAAATTCATATTAAGAGACTTAGAATTTATAGAATGATTCTTCTTATCTTTAAGTTATACGGATTTTTACAATTTTCCTAATTTTTATCAGCAGTGACTCTGTAACATTTTTACAATAGTGATGTCTCAAAAATTACTACAGTTTGACTATAGTAACTCTTATTAACATTCGAACAATAAGTAACTGTCATAATTTTATTTAATAATTAATATAATTTATTATTTATAAACTTGAACTCATTTCAAAGCTTGGAGCCTCCACGAAAATGCATCGTTTACTATATTTTAAAATGTATTTCTGTTTCTCTTCTCCAAAATGCTGCAAATTGTCACAATATGTAAAAACATTGAAAAATTTGTCTCGTGACTGAATTTGAATAGATTTGAAAATTGAATTAATCGAGAATCTAAACCAAACTAATCGGATAAATATGAATTAAAAGAAAGACACGTGCAGCAACGTTTTCAAACATTAATATGCAAAATATGTAAAATGAAAAATAAATTATGAAGTTTATTATATTAGTTATATTAAATTTTTTTTTAATTTAATAATTTCTATCCAATTACCACATTTTTATCTTTCTTCTACAAAAATATGCGTCTGCTAAGTCTAGTAATAAACCTTTTAATAATGTCCAACAATCAGACAGAAAATCATTGATTCTGTAATTTAAAAAATTCCTGAATGTTGCTGAGATTTTTTTCAAAATACTGAAGACTAGCCAATTTTTACCTACTATTACACACGGTAAAAAGATTTTCCTGCCTGTAATTATAAAAGTGGTCTAAAAGTCAAAAATGTGAAAAAATGAATTTAGTCCACGCTTTGTATTGAATTGCAATATTGTGAATCAGACGAGATCGGTTCCTGTTTATTTTGATAATGGCCCAAGTCAGATTCTTATTTCCTCTTGAAACAATTTTGTGACTTGATGAAATTATCTTTCATAATGATGTTGTTAGTGTGTGCGTCTAGAATGAATTTATAGCATCATGAAAAGCTCAAGAAAAAGCATAGTGCACATAGTGACATTTGCTCTAGCCAGAACTGTAATATTAAAGGAGCACTGACATGGATAAAGATTGTACAGTTTGAATGGAAATACAACAGACAGCAAATTTTTGGCATCTAACCATTCCTTTTTGCCAAACGATTTTATTTTGATGGAAATGAACATAAAGAGAACATAACCCATTTTCTATAGAACGAATGGTGCAGAAAGACAAAACTACTGCAAAGATCAACAAATAGGGAGAGAATTCCATTGACTGCAAATACAGTGGATAAGATTTTTAAAAACTGCTCCATGCAAAATGTTTTACAAGACATGATTAGACAGTGATGCCAAATTCAAAGTTTTAGATCTTTCCTCCAGAAAAAGAAACAAGAAAATATATTGTCGTTAGAGCAGTAACAAAGGGAAAATATAAAGACACGATGGACTTTAAAGTACTCAGCATCGAAAATTCCATGTAAAAAAATAAAAACTATAATTATGAAATATAAGTGATTAAAAGTTTGCCTCTAATATCTTTTTCCTAACAATAATAAAGTCCATTGTTTTTCATCGTTACAAGTCACTTTTTGGTCGTTCGATTAATCTTGAAAATGGCCCAAATCTAAAGAAACGCAATCACTTGCAAGATACAAATAAAATTTTACAATCAAAGAGACTATTTGCATTGTAAGAGCAAATGTTTGATTACGTGTTACGTTGTGCTTCTATACATGTAAATGTAAAACCGGAAACACCTCCAAACAAGGAATATGCAAATGCAGGCCATTTGGCACGTTTATGAAAGTTAAGAAGATTATCAAAGACCCAACGAGAGAAGCATTATGATGGAATATTCAGCGAAACAGTAGCTTATCGTTGAAAATCAATAACACCGATACCTTGATCTGGCGACGTAAGCCTGCTGCCTTTTCGCAGGTGGGTCAGTGAAAACAGACTCTCCCGACAAGAGGGCGACAACCGTGAGAGCCTCTTCGAGGCACTGATGCTCCACTGATGCAAGAATCACTTTGGTGAATCGTGGATCCAACGGAAATAACGACATTGTTCTTCCGAGGGTGGTCAGCTGTGGCGGAGAACCTATTTCCATGAAGAAATTAAATTTATCAATATTTTACATTTTACTCGGCGTCGAAACGTACCATTATAAAAAGAAAATAAAAAAAGTTGAATTAACCAAAGTTATAATTATAATTAAACAGTTCAGAATACCGACGACTCTGTCCACTTCTGTACACATCATGTTGTTTTTGAAAAACACGAAAAATCTAGGGATGTTCTCCTTCGAAATTATTTTACTTAAAAATTTAAAAAGAAATTATTATTATATTGCAACAACGTAATAAAATATATTATTATTATTAAATGTTATAACAAAATATATATTATTATCAATTACCAAAATTAACAATTCTTTTCGTCTTTAAAAGAATATTTCATACTACCCTTGTGAAATTTTTAGAAAAAAACAATACAGTTGGGAACACTTTTGAATAATGTTCTTATAGAATAGATATTTTGGGATCTGTAATTAAATAAAAATGACAAAAGCTTCATGGAAACAAGTTATAAGAACATTTTTATATTCATATTTTTATATTTTTTATATTTATATTTTTATATTTTTGTACTTTTATACATTTATATTTTATATTCATTTAATAATATTCAGTATTTGCTACAAATGTTGAGAACTTTTCTAATATTGGCGAACAAATTATCTGTTCCTTCCGACAGACAAGTGTTTCCTTTTATATTTTACCAGCTCTGTCTCGTCTGAAACATTTATTTGTCTGTTCTCATCGGGACTTGCAATGTAAGAACACTTTCTCGAGAAAGTTTTATATTTTAAATTCATGTTTCAAATAGGAATTATTTAAAAATTCTAAAACGTTTTCGATGCTTCTATTATCATTATTATTTTAATTGTAAAATAAAACCGCGCAGGAATCCAACGCTTCAACTGATCAGAAGTTCTTTCTATAGTATATTTTCCTCTGCCGTGATTGAGGACAAATAAAAACAAAAATAAAAGTTACATTAAAATATGATACGATCTATCATCGAGTTATATACTCTTCCAGGCAGCATAAAATTCGTCGCTGAATAAAATTACAGCGATTCCCGCTTTGGATGACACGATATACACAGTTACGATAACAACCAACACGCGAGATACGAAATATTGCTATTCTAAAAAGAAATAAAGCCGGGAGAACGTATTATATTGTTTCCAAGGACGGTGATATAGTTCCTCCGGTGAGCCGATGTCGCTTACTTGAATTTCAGAACCTTCCTGCCCGAAAGTTTCAGCTGAAGCCCAGTTTCCAATTTGTCGTGCTAATAAAAAAAAACAGTTCTACCGCCGCGACAATGCAATCCATATGTATAACTCTGTTTCTTGCAACAGGAAGCTCCACGGTGAAAAGAGAAGGAACTTGAGCATTTCTTAAGCTTCAAAAAATCAATTTTTGTTTTTTACATTTTCTCAAAGTACATGCTTTCGAAAATGTCTATGTAAACGAATTTGTTTGAATTCGTAAAATTGGCAAAGTTATTGACGTTTAAAGGAAACGGTGTACTGCTCGCAACGTAAGTATGAACATTTTTGTACAACGGGTAACAAAAAAAATATTTTATTTTATAATTATTATTATTTATATTGTTATTTATGATTATTTATTTGTTATTTATATTATTATTTATGATTACTTATTTATTATTTATGTTATTATTTATAATTATTTATTTGTTGTTTATATTATTATTTATGATTATTTATTTAATATTTATATTATTATTTATAATTATTTATTTGTTATTTATATTATTATTTATGATTACTTATTTATTATTTATGTTATTATTTATAATTATTTATTTGTTGTTTATATTATTATTTATGATTATTTATTTAATATTTATATTATTATTTATAATTATTTATTTGTTATTTATATTATTATTTATGATTACTTATTTATTATTTATATTATTATTTATAATTATTTATTTGTTGTTTATATTATTTATGATTATTTATTTATTATTTATATTATTATTTATAATTATTTATATTATTATATTACAATTATTATTATTTATATTATTTTATTTTCTGTACTGCTCGACTGATTGTAAGTATGAATATGTTTTGTACAACGAACAACAGACACTTGAAATGTGTTTTTCTCAAATCCATATTTTTTAAACTGGCTGACAGGATATCTGACGTTCTAACTGACCGATTGATTTGAAATTTAGGGGAGATGTACCTTCACCGGATGTACCTTTATCGCATTTCAAAATCTGATGTTTTTTTCTATTTTTGTTTACCACCCAAAGGACGAAAAGCACAAGGAAAAACGATATTTTAACCTCAAAAGGCTGCCATTGTTTTTTTAATCTTCCAAATTTCACTGTTTCCGTGGTACATCGCGATTTTAGATTTTAGAAAATTTTTAATAACTTTATAGAACGCAAATATTTCGAAATTTGCTTTTTTTTTATTCGCATTGAAAGAAAAGGTATCATTTAAAAAATTATCGATTTGAAAAACTTATCTCTGACATCATGCAACTTTGTCCTGAGAAATTTTTTCATTTGATTGATCTCGTTCAGCTGAGAGATACTCTGTATACAGACACTAAACTATTTTTAAACTGTTACAATTTTGTAAAACTCTTTCATTTTTATGTTAAAAAATATTTTCGCGTAAGCAAATAAAGATACTTTTCTTCTCTTCTTCTTGTAAAAAAAAAATTGAAAAATTTTTTTCACGATTGAAATTTACAATTTAAAAATTGGAGCCTTTCCTTTACAACGATTCCCGGAAACTTGATGTACGATCTTTTCGTCATTTCATTGAACTTTCATTATTTTCAAAGATTCAAGAAATCGCAATATTTAAAATTCAATAAATTGTAATTCAATTAAATAATAAATTATAATTAAAATATAATTAGTAAGATAATTTGTATTGAATAATAAATTATATTATACAAATTATTATTATGAGATAAATATAAAAATATTTAAATGTTCAAATGTTAATCGGAGTCACTTCACACAATTCAAACAACGTAATTTTCGACATATCATTGTGAAAATATTGCACAGACACTACTGATGACAAATTATAAAAATTATAAAAATCACTGTTCACTTGTCTGCGGATAATTTCAATGGAAAGCAAAAATGCAATCCTTTTTTCTGATTTATTCTCTAACTCTATAAATTCGTCTTATTTAGTATGAATTTTATTTTATCTCGACAAAGTGAAAGATATGCTTTTTTAAATTAATAAAACATGCTCTTTTTAATTAACAAAATGACATTTAGTTATTCTGTTTACAAACAGTTCTTCGCTTTTCCTAAAAAAAAAAAAAACATACTTTTTCAAGTATGCAACAATTTAATGATATCTTCATTTATTATATTAAACTGTTCTATTTAATTAAACACCCATAATCCAACGCGTTTCTAGTATTAAATATTATATTACTCGATAGCGAATATTATATTACTCGAATTATATTCCAATTAAAAATATTTTCAAATGTCTATCATTAAATTTAATACCTGCGAGGATTACGTGTTCATACATAACAATGATTGTGATGAAATATGATTTCGCGCGGAATCAATGGCGAAATATGAACAAAATGAGATTACGGGAGAGCAAGCAAGTCTTATAAATTCTAGAACAGGTGAAATCCGAAAGTCGATAAGGGGGAATGGTCTTATGCCACTTGACACTTGATCTCATTTTCAGCGAAACGTTCGAATACGTCGAACGATTAAAAAATAACTGACATTCGCAAATTCTCGTTTTCTCGTTATTTCCTTATTAAAAATGACATAATAAATATAATGCGCACATTAATATTCATTTATTTTTTAGCCACATTTCATTTATTTATTTATCCATTTGTATAATTGATATATCAAAAATAGATAAATTCTAGTATTTTTCTGAAAATTTGAGAGTTAACTCGTTTTCATTTTTTTTCTTTTCTTTGTTTTTCATATGAGAAAAATATCAAGAAAAATCATGACAACAGAAATTAATTTCATTAAAACACAGGTTTTAAACGTGGAAATTTTAAATATACTTGAAGTTTGTTTAATTTCTCGAGAATTACATTACCATCTCATTTGCATTTTTTAATAATGATGTACAGATATTGTTGATTTAATTATAATACATTTAAGATTAATAATCAATGTGTATATCAATTATAAAATTTTAAAGTAGAATTTAACAAAATTTTTTGAATATTTATGATTATTGTTATATATAATTATTATATATATTTATGATTATTGTTATATATATTATTGTATTTATTGTACTTATATATAATATTGATTATACATATTATTGTAATGATTATACATAATTAATAAGTATAATAAAAATTTGTATATTTTAAAAAAAATGTTTAAATATTTATATAATATTTGTACAAACTTTAAAAAATGTTTAAATATTTGTATAATATTATATAAAATTAAGTAATAATTTGTATAATGTTGGAAAAAATGTTTAAATATTTGTATAATATTTGTGGAAATATTAATAAATATTTGTAAAGTTCAACAAAAATTTTAAATATTTCTATAGCTTGTATAATAATAATTTGTATTTAATAATTCTAAATATTCGTATCATACAATTTGTACAATACAGTCGATGTTCTTACACAGTGTATAAAAATTTACAACAGAAACGAAAAGATCGTGAGGTTTCTAAAGAATTTTCATTTCTTTGCAGTCGAAAAAATTGAAATTACTTGCAAGTGATTGTAAAAATTTCAAAGTATCGTCAGATGGGATTATTCAACCGACCGAGAGAGAATGATCAAGCAAACGTAAGTGATTCTCGACGTGGAACACAGAGGAACACCAGGCTAGATTTCGTTCGTTCAACGATGAATTTTCGGCCATTAAATTAAACTTACAAGTCTCGATGAATCAACTTAAGGGAAAGAAACCTTCCAATGCAACGGTTTGGATAATTCAATTAGCAGAGAAATTTGATCTGACAAACGAGAAACTCAAACTGAAATCTGGCCCCGGAAGCTTAATTGACCGATCCAGTTCCCCTTCGCAAATTCTGCAAATAGATCTCCTTAGTTTTGCGTTTAATATTCAAATGTTGAACTTTACGTACTAGCACACGCATAGTACCTTTCCATAGTACCTTCATTTATCATATTAAATAAACTGCAAATAAACTTCTAACTGTTGTTCCTACGATATTAGTGGCGCTAATGAAAAATCTGATTTACAAGTTGGTCGTGTAATCTAATTGTAAGTTAACTGACGGAACAGATAATAGTTATTTAATTTGCCTCTAAATACTTGAAGTTTAAATTATTTATTATTTTATCCATCAAAATTCCAATCAAAGTGAACTGACTATGTATTTTAAACCAGTTCAAAATTATTCAGTCACAAATGTTTCCTTATATTATCCCAATTTTATTTAAACAATGAAAAATATATAATTGTACAAATTATAAAATATATAATTCCATTTAAACAAACAAGGATTTGTCCCTTATTGAAACTGTACAACTTTTAACATTATAAACATAATTTAGAAATTTATTAAATATTTCCTTATATTGTCCTAATATTATAATGTCCCTTATTGAAACTGTACAACTTTTAACATTATAAACATAATTTAGAAATTTATTAAATATTTCCTTATATTGTCCTAATATTATAATGTCCCTTATTGAAACTGTACAACTTTTAACATTATAAACATAATTTAGAAATTTATTAAATATTTCCTTATATTGTCCTAATTTTATCTGAATGAAAAATATATAATTGTATAAAATATAAAATATATAACTCCATTTAAACAAACAAGAATTTGTTCCTTTTTGAAACTGTACAACTTTTAACATTATAAACATAATTTAGAAATTTAATATTTAAATATTTCCTTATATTGTCCCAATTTTGTCTGAATAAAAAATATATAATTGAATACAATATAAAATATATAATTCCATTTAAACCAACAAGGATTTGTCCCCTTTTGAAACTGTACAACTTTTAATATTATAAACATAATTTAAATATTTCCTTGTACCAATTTTATTTGAATAATGTAAAATATATAATTGTATAAAATATAAACTATGTAATTCCATTTAGAAAAAAAGTTTGCTCTTTTTTGAAACCATACAACTTTTATAAATATTTAACGTTATGTGCATAATTTGAAAATTTATTAAATGGTTCTTTATAATGTACCAATTTTGTCTGAATGAAAAATATATAATTGTATAAAATATAAAATATATAATACATGTTTTTAACCAATTTACTCTTTCTCCAGTAGTATTTTTTAACCTTCTAAAAACCGCGTCTTCTAGAAGTTTAGTTGAAATGAAATCCCCTATATCTGATGGAATTATTATTATTTTAAAAAATCATTATCCGAGCTAATCAGGCACTACTACTTTAATAATAAAAAATATAGCTCTTATCTCTCTAAAAAATTTTATTGCATAGTATACTTCGTATCTGTTTGAAACTCTTAAAATGTAACTTAAGCCATTTTCAAAATAAAAATCTTTCCAGCTAATTTTCCGTGTACAAAATCTTGGTGATATTTTAGTTAAAATATATTAGTTACAATTTGTTTAAAAATGAAAAAATAAAGATAGAAATGTAAATATTAAAACAACTAGCTTGATTTTTTTTGGAAACTGGACTTAGGCCACTTTCAAAATAAAAATCTTTCCAGCTAATGTTCCGTGTACAAAATCTTGGTGATATTTTAGTTAAAATATATTAGTTACAATTTGTTTAAAAATGAAAAAATAAATATAGAAATGTAAATATTAAAAACAACTAGCTTGATTTTTTTTTTGGAAACTGGACTTAGGCCACTTTCAAAATAAAAATCTTTCCAGCTAATGTTCCGTGTACAAAATCTTGGTGATATTTTAGTTAAAATATATTAGTTACAATTTGTTTAAAAATGAAAAAATAAATATAGAAATGTAAATATTAAAAACAACTAGCTTGATTTTTTTTTTTGGAAACTGGACTTAGACCACTTTTAAAATAAACGGCTCATGTCTGAATGTGACCAAGATTAACACACAACGATGAATCTGCATTACAAGCCTCACTCGTGTTTCCTACGTTTGACTCGAATTCCTTGCTACGAGTCTTATCTCTACGAGTGTTATCAATTTCTCGAATACGAATTGAAAGTGTTAAGAATTTACTTAAAATGAAACTTGAAAGGCTACAATCACTCACCCTTAACGGCGCCCAGTTTCTCCAGGCAGGTCACCGCGACGTCGACGGCCTCCTTCGGCGGTTTGTCCATGAAATCAAAGGTGGTGATGTCAACGCCGATGGCGAGCAGCTGGAGGGCTACTCCCGCGAGGGCACACCTTTGTATCTCCGGCACAGGCATCTCCTTCATCCTCTCGAACTCCTCCTTGGTGTAGGTTCTGTAACATTTGCCGGCCGCTTCTCGGCCAGCCCTGCCGGTCCTCTGCCAGGCCTGTGCCTTTGAGACTTTTTCCACCCTGAGCACATCCAATCCGGTAGTCGGGTGATGAGTTCTCGCTTTGACCACGCCGGTGTCGATCACGTGTCGAATTCCTGTGTAATTTTATATCGGTGAGATCAGTGTGTGCGCGCGCTGCTGCCGATCCCTCGTGCCGCGAGGATGTAATCACGGGAAACACGGCGCCGCGATGTAATCAAGTCTGTCGCGAGACCAACCCTCGATTTCGGATCCGTGATATTAGCAGATTGCGTCCAAGAAAATAAAATTGGTTCCTCTGGCGAATTTAACGATTTAAGGGGTCAGAACTATTTGAAATTTTAAAAAAATCGGTTTTTTTGTTTTGTTTTAAATAGTAGTTTGATGTCTGTCTTGGAAATAAGATAGAAAAGGTCCTAGCCTTAAAAAAAAAACGACTTATTTTGGGATATAATGATAAATCCGCGGACAGAGAATAATTGTATTTGTACCACTGTTTACAACTTTAAGCAGTATTATAAAGTGTAAATCGTGTGATTCAAATATTACTTTTGGTGAATCGAATGTTAGGGGACTTGGATTCAATTTAGTTGCGAATTGTGGGAACTGCGAGCCGCAATTATATAAGTAAAAATAGTAAGTAAAGGATACAAATGAAAGATGACGTTTTGAAACTTTGAACGCGTTTTTCTCGAAACTAGGTTTTTAGAAACGGTGTGCAAGATATCTCGGAATCTAACCAACCGATTACCATGAAACTTGGTACGTATCTTTAGTGTAACACTTACTAGGGATTGACGATCGAATATTTTTTAATTTTTAACAATTTCGAAAAATGTAAACAAGAAACGTAGAAATTTTATACATTTTATAAATTCGATATATGAAAAACAAATAGCTGCTACTTTCATCATTTTCACAGAAATGAAAATGTTGGATCGTCAATCCCTAGAGAATATTGTTTACTTTTGAACATTTTTTGCCTTTTTGTTAGCGATTGATGTTATTCGAAAAATGCAATACGTTCTGTTTCGACAACGTGTAAAAGTTGAAATTAGCTTTTTTTTGAATGGAATCACGTAATTTTTTTTTACATTAACCGATACATCGATAAAAAAACAATTCCTTATAAAATAAATTGACCTATTTATAGTGCAGAAATTAACAGCTTAGAAGATATTTGAATTTTATAAAATCTATGCATGAAAGACTGTCACGAATATAAAAACATTTGTCCTTCTTCGTTTTTCATGTTACAGATTTTATAAAATTTTATAAAATTAAAATATCTTCTAAACTAATAATTCTTCGTCATGCAATAATTAATATTATTCTTTTTAGGTTTTAACATCAATCCTTTATAATTATATTATATTATGATGTTATTAATATTATATTATAGTGTTAATAAATTAATATTATTCCCTTTTTTATAAGGAATGACCTATTGCATCTAGGACTGATGTAAAAAAAATTACGTGATTCCATTTAAAACAATAATAATTAATAAAAATCATATCTATTACAAAAGTAGATTTCAGATTTATATATTATTATATAAATTTATATATATTTATATTTATATATATAATTTTATTATAGATAATGTATAATTATATATTTTTATTATATTTATTTTACTATTTACATTTTATATTACTATTATAATAAAATAATAAAAATCGCGTCCACCTAGAAACAAACTACACTAAATTACTGCCTCCACGAAACAGAACAAATTGCATTTGAAATATTTTCCGAATAACAAATAATTAAGATTTATAAATTAAATGGGGCATCCTGTATACTTTGCACAATATTGCTATTATGTCGCATTATATTGTTATATTGATGCAACATAAAAAATTTAATTTTCATTTTTTAAGTAATGCGATACGTACATATGTAAATCTGTTTGAAATATGTCATACTGCAAATGAAGTATTCCGTTAAATAAAAATGAATTAAAAACACTGGACTGGAAACTTTTAAGCAAATCAATTTTAAAATTCCATTAAATGCGAACCTGGATTTGAAATCCAGCACTGCGCTCGATGGATTGACCCTCTTGACAATAAAATCTCATATTTCGTCTAAAATTTCATTGAGTGTCTTTTTTTTTTTTTTTTAATAAAAAATCTTGTTTTTGATTTTCGTGCTTAGACTCCGTATGTTTATGTGCATTACACATCTGAAATTTTAATGTTACTGCAAAGTTTTCCATCGTATCCGAATAATAGAGACAAATACAATGTGCATAGTCCCGCGACTTGTGATTTTACGTGTAAAAATGAGTCAAAAAGAAAGGATAAAATTTTTTCATCAGTCTTCGTTTTCAAGAAAATCGAGTTTGAAAATTTATCGAGTACACTTCAATTTTAAACATAATAGGAAAATTCAGATTTTCTTCTCAGTAGTTATTATGACATTATCAACATTAATTATTATGACATGTTACAATTTGTCAGATGTAAAGCATTGAAAACATTGAAAGAATTATGTATAATTTGTATTTATTAATGTTCAGTTTGAAGGATTAAAACTGAAAATTCAAATTCATATTCTTTTAAATCGAAACTATAATCCCTGCAACAAGTGCTCTAATTTCTACGACTCGATATTACAACTCAAAGAGTTAACAAAAAGTTATTGTAAAAATAAATGCGAAAATAAGTAGAAAAATGCAGAATTTTTTCATTTTCAAGAAAACTTAGGCGTAACGTCGGAGGATTAAGACAAACAAGAACTTGACGAGAAATTAGTTGAGATTTTCTTAGAGTATCGTTGTAAAAGAGATTCTCTGCAAAACTCACTGCTACAAAAAGTACCATAGTAACTGAGACACGATTCCTTCCCAAAGAAACTTTTTCTTTCCACTTTTCTCTCCTTGACTGACTTTCGTTAGTTTTTCGAGTCTCCTTTCTATGAATATACAAATTCTCAGTTTCACGAATCAGCAACCGATTGCGAGGACTTTATGAATCTTTGTATACTGGGATAAAGAACAAACAGAGAAATCTTGTCTCACATTTTTATAATATTTTACACACGTAACAAATTTCTAAGTTTATATTACAAAAAAAAAATATTTACGAGAAGGTAAGCCTCTTTAAGGGGATATTCTAGTAATCCGGCTTAAAAAAATGAATTTTTTTTTTACATTTTCTCAAAGTATATGCTTTCGAGAATATCTGTGTAAAAGGATTTGTTTAAATTCGTAAAATTAGCAAAGTTATAGATATTCAAAGGAAACGGTGTTACTGTTCGCAACGTAAGTATGAATATTTTTGTATAACGGGTAACAAAAACTTCAAATGTGTTTTTCTCACAAAATATTTCATTTTATAATATTATTATTTATATTATTATTTATTTTTATGTTATTATTATTTTATAATATTTTATTTTCTGTACTGTTCGACTGTATGCAAGTATGAATATTTTTGTACAACGGGTAACAAAAACTTCAAAAAGTTTAGAAAAACTCTAACTCTATTGTAAAGAAAAAACTTGTTACTTTGATTGAATTAGATTTTAATAATTTCAGAGGGATTTCTCTTTTTAAACTCTATCATGCATTTAAACAGAATGTAAAATGTTTTGATTGTTTGAAATCAAGTTTTGTTATTTTTTATAAATGGATTTTTTATAAATGGAAAAGTAACTTTGAAGTTCTCTCGTCTTTTTGTCAAAAAATTATGTACATGTATGATTTGTATATATCTACGTTCTTTAAATTATAAATAGCTATAATAATTATAACAATTTTATTGTTAGTATTTAATAATTCTATTGTTAGTGCAGTAAACTTTAATGATTCAACAATCGCAAATCTAACATTTTTTAAAATAACAAAAAATTCCTTTAACATCTTAAAATTATATATTGCATTATCAATTATATTTTCAATTTCATATCGTGCTTTAAATATTTATAGTGTTCGTTTTCTTGCTACTTTTGTCATCAAATAGTACAATTATGACAAATACATCGCTGACTTAATTGATTTAACTAATATACTCGGCTCGATTCCAACTATAAGATTGAAGAATGATAAACAGATTACATCGCCTAATCAAAAAATTGAATTCCAACGTCAAACCTGCAACCCATTCTCTCCAAAGAATCTTCACATAAATATTAAATACTCTGAAATCTCATTATGATGAGAGATTATCCAGATTATCCAATGGAATCTTAATAACTTTTATCTGGCTCGAATATCTCCAGCTATTAATTGATGATGCCTAGCCACATGTAATCTGCTTACAGGAAACAAATTTCAAAAACCTCAACTCAGACAAAAAATTAAAGACTTCAAAGTCTCCTATAAAAACCGCAACACCGCCTATGCAAGAAAAGGAACAGCTACTTTCGTTAAAAACAATATTCACAGCCAAGGAGCAGTCACAACTAACGGAGAAGCTGTTATCGTTAAAGTATCATGCCTTGCCATTTTACATGTGTAACATGTATTTACTCAAGTCAACACTTGAAAGAAACGGATATAATTTATCTAATTAACCAAATTCCCAAATCTTACATTATTCTTGGCGACTTTTAACAGCCACACTTCCTCTGAGAATCGTATAAAACTGATGAATATTGAGATATTCATTGATGCAGTCAATTTAAACTTACTTAATACAAATACACTTTCCCATTTTTGCACTGCGTCTGGCTGTCTCAGTACTATAGAACTATCATTATATAACCCTTCAATTACCCAAAACATCACACGGAGCATCTTGAGCGACCTAATGGTGTCACCAATATCTTCTGAATAAAGAAAATCTCCCAATTTGTGATTTATGCAAAGTCCAATTGACAGGAACATATTTCTGTCCAGTGCGAAAAATATATGGCCAACAGACATCAACTAAACTGAATAAATCATTCTTTGATTGACAATCTAAAAAACAAAGAACCTAAATCCTAAAACTAATACATTTTCTAAGATAGTCTAATAATAAATCTTTATAATAAATTGTGAGATTTAGTTCCAAATGGTCGATGCAGCTATAAATAATGAAAATAAAATTTCCTCAAAAACAAGACCTGGTACGAGCAAATTTTATTCCAAATTTTTATTTTTTCTCTTTTCTTTCAACTACTTATTAGTTACAGACCAAAAAATTTATTTTTCCGTGCTAAGAGGTTGAAAAGGTCTCGAACATTCGCTTCCAACTTACAATTAGAAGGATTGAACGAAGAAGCAAGGGGAAAATAATAGAATTTCATGAATCCATACGTACCACCAATGGTAACGGAAGTTTCAGCCACGTTGGTAGACAAAATGAGCTTTCTCATTCCAGGAGCGGACGGCTTAAAGGCTTCCAATTGCTGATGCGTCGGCAAAGCCGAATACAATGGAAACACCTTCAATGGCGGATAACCCTGTCCATCCAGTTGTTTAGCTACTTGCCTCGCGCTCACAGCCGCAGCCTCGATTTCTTCTTGTCCGGTCAAAAAGACCAGAATATCCTCGCTGAAAGAAACATGGAAAAACTGTGAAAATCTGGGAATCGTCTGCTCTGTTCACTTCTGACCCAGTTCCCTGGGCCTGGCATTCGAACCTCCTCGAACGAGATTACTCTAATCTAATAAAAGTAACGCCGCTATGCAAATACACGGCAATCTTGCAACTGGCTTACTAAGCTGCAAAAATTGCCGCAAAGCTCGCCGATATTTCTCTTGTCGCAATTGTCAGTAAAATAAAACTTTAGCAATACGTTTATATCGAATTTGAGAGAGGAACAGAATGATGGTAGCATGAGAATGAAGATGAATCAGAATCTCCACTAGCTCGCTATAACTATTATTGTTTCTTTTGTACATTAACAAGCCCTGCTACAACCACACATTTTCATATTTCAATCTTGTCTTTGTTTTAGAAAACAAAAATGTTTAATAATAATTAAAATAAAATATTGAATATTCAATAACTTTATTAACAATGAGATTAAATAAATAATTTAAATAAAGATATGAAGTAAAAATTACGTTTAATTTCGACTTGAAGATAAATCTTACTCTTACGATTATATACTTATTATATCATTATAAATATATATTAATTAATTTATAGTAATAATTATAACATTTTAATAAGACATATATTAAGATATTTAAAAAGGCATTTAACATGAAATCACGTATGCTAACAAGAAATTTCTCAGAAAGGAAAGTTTTCTCAAAATATTGGTAAACCTTGACTTTAACAAAAAGAACGTTGTATTGTCTTTGTTTTATATAAAAATCATTTATCTAGTCTATCAATCATTTGTCTTATCATTAGTAGATATTTTAACTTCAACTTTGTAAAAGTTTGCAAATACAAAAGTACTTGTTCTTGTTTTTCATATAATAAATTTCGCAAAATTGAAACTGAAACAAAACGAAATAAACAGGTTAATAAGTACTTTAATTTTATACAAAATGCCGGGGATTATATTAATGCATTGAAAATTAAATGATTTTAAAAACCAAGTTTACAAATGAACCAACTACATTAAATTACTTTTTCTACATTAATTTACTTTCTTGAATCATTTTTTTCATTAATAAACAGCACTGATGATAATTATTGTATTTACAGGTTAAATACCCTGGTTAGGAAATACCTTATGTAATTACTCATTTTAATTCATGTATGATCCAAATTGAAAAAAATAACACCATTTAACAAATATTTGTTACAAAATATTAAAAGCTTAATAATATTATTGAGATATTTCACTCACTGTCTAATAATACGAATATCTCGTTTAAAAAGAAAGAAATTAATTAAATTAAAAGGGAAAAAAAGAAAACAAACATCAAAGGTGTGAGTGTAGTTGGATGAGTGAGAGTCTTTTGTCTATAGTTATGAAGTCTATGGTGTAAATATGATATGTGAGAGTAGCGTCTAGTGTAAATGATATTTTGAAGAATGTCCTAGAGCAGTTAGAAGAGTCAGAGAACGAGAACCGATAGGTGAAACAGAGAGTGAGAGAAGAGAGTGTGAAAGCAAGAACTGATTTATCAGTTCAATATAATATTTTGTGTTTATTGCGCGTGTTTATCTTTTGTGTAAATATACTTTGTGCTTTTCGTTGAAAGATAAAGATATTGTTGTCCCATTCTACCCACAAAACGTTTCACACTATTCAGTTTATCGTAAAAACACCGGAGCAACACGCCGGAAATATACTGTGAAATTTTCGACGCAAATGAGAGCATAAAAATATGAAAATAAGCGGAATAAAAGGAAGAATTACTTGGCAGGGCTGTCGCGATGAATCTGGAAAGCTGTAACAAGGGCGGAGAACGCATAATCCTCCTGCGACTTGACGGCGTGATAAATCTTCACCGGATGCTGACGACCCTCTAAGTACAGTGCCGGCGCTTGGAAATACTTGCTAAACTTATCGACGTCCATCGTGGCTGACATTACGAGCAACTTCAACGGCGGTAGGTTCTTAAGCTTTCGTAAATTCTGCGCCCTCCTTGCAACGCCGAGCAACACGTCAGTCTGCACCGATCGTTCGTGGGCTTCGTCGAGGATCACCACTGAATAATCCGATAAAATTTCGTCGGTCATCGCCTCACGGACCATCATACCATCAGTCAGGTACTTGATCCTCGTTTGCGACGACGTCACGTCCTCGAAACGTACGCAATAACCGACCAATTTACCCGTTTCTACCCCTTGCTCTAACGCAACTCGGCGGGCCACGCTCACCGCGGCCACTCTTCGCGGCTGGGTGACGCCGATACAACCGGAACTGCCAGCGATACCGGAAGAAAGCAGGAATTGGGGAATCTGCGTTGTCTTGCCGCTTCCCGTTTCGCCAATGATGATCAGGGTGCTGTTCCTGCGGATCTCTTCAAGCAATCTGAAATCATACTCAAAGTAATATTGTATCTATATAATAAAAATAGTACGGTAAATGTAAATTATAAATTATATATAATAAATATATTTGCAACTATATAGGCAGTATGTAAGTATAAATTATTATATTTACAACAGATACATATTTAACATACATAATTAGATACAACAAACATAAAACATACTTTACATGATAAAATTATATACTTTGTCAATTATAGTATAATAGTATTAGTATAATAATAATATTAATATTATAATGTTATTATATTATATTTGTATGATAAAAATTATAAATCATATACACAGTATGTAATATACGATAATTTACAATAAATATAAAATATATTTTATGCAATAAAGACTCTGTTAAAATATTAATATATTATATTGTCATATTATTGTATTATTATAATATATATTGTATTATAAAATATACACGATAATCAATTTTATTTCTTGATATAATAAAATATTTCAACATGCGCTTAGTTATGAAAATAATACAGATGAGATGAGAATTGAGTATAATGAGTAATAAATAATCTATTACCTCAATCGTGACGTCAACGTCACCACATTCATGGGCATAACAATAATTTTATACTCCACAAAATTAAAAGAGCAGTAAATTGTAACTGAAAAAATTGGCGAACTTTGAACTTGTATATCATTTTGAATTAAATGTTGAATATTATTTTAAAAAAAACATTTTGCTTGGGCTCATTTTAAAGAGTAAAGCGTCTACTTTCAGAATCTGAAATACTACAAGCTGCTGATTATGTGAATTTATGCTAAATATGGCTTTAAACAGCTTCTTATGGCTTAAAATACCTTCGAGTGCTTAAAAGTCTAAATAAATTATCAAAGGTTTAAAGTTCGTTTAATAGCGAACAAGGAGCATAAGTTAATAGCAAATTAAGAATGCGTTCATCTTTGAATATGTATCTTTTGATTTATTTTCACTTATTTATTCGATATATTTACTGTTGTATAAAAAAGCTTTTTAGAAAATTTGCAGAAAATTTCAAGGAATATATATGTATGACAGTAGTAAAAATTCAAAAAATCTTCAGAAAGGTTTTTTAATATTTATAATCTACAGATATCACTATATATGCTTCTACATTGTACTGCAATTGTTCACCTGTTGTTAGGCATAAAAAAATTTTTCGTTTTACTATTTTTTTAATCCGAAGAAATTAAATCTCTTTTTCTCAGAAATTTTAGCTTTCTGCGAAATAGAAAATTTTTAATTTGGTACTTTTAAGTAAACGTGTAATATTTTAAATCTATCTTTTGTATTTTTAATATTACCAATAATAATTATATAAAACATTGAAAACTACCTATAAATCCTGTTCCGTTTAAACTCGTTTAAATTCGTGAAACACATTCGATTCACAACTAGAAACTATTGGATTATGTCGAAAATCAAAAATTATCAAATTTAGAATTCAATCATGTAAAATCATGTAAAATTTTACAAATTTAATAGCTCTTCACACACTTTAAAGAAATGTATGAAATTCTAAAATAAAAATAGAGAAAATATTATATTTTCTGCAGAATTCTTATTCGAACCTGCTCCCATAATTATACATTTAAAAAGGCCAAGATTTATTGCCATTTCAATGTAAAGATAAGATTACAAAACGTTATTGAAGATTAAATTCTAGCACACAAAGAATGAGAATATTTTAATAAATATTTAATTTTTCATTAATATATAATTTAACATCAATTTAAGTTACAAATGTACCCAATCCTTCTCTCATATTTGTTTTCCATTTAATAAAAAACTACCATTTATTTTTGATTATTTATGACTTTATGTCTACCTAAATGTGGATTTAAGGAGATATTACTAGACTGAGTATATTTATGCAATTTTATATTATTATAAAAATAATTTAAAAAATTATTTAGAAATCTAGAAAATTATTTCAGTTATTATTTTAAATATTACAAGGAATCATACTTTAAATTTTATTGTATATATTTTTGCATTTTCAAATTTTCCATAAATCCATAAAAATCCGCAATCTAGCAATTACTTTCGACGTATAACATAATGAAAAAAACCAATATTCAGAAAAAGGATGACCAAAATCATTTTTATAAACCTCTGTTTATTTTTCACTAAAAGTAATATATCATTTTTTCGGCGTGACATAATAAAAATGAAGTTTGTACAATGTATCAATTTTGTACGTTTTATATCAATATCGCGATTTTATAAACAAAAGACATGTTTCAAATTTGAATCTTTTATAACACGGTATGCCCTTTTCTGAAATAATTCCTCAATTTTTTCTGAAAGTCATTTTTCTTCTTTACAAGATTTCATTTTTATTTCTGAGAAACTTTAAAATCAAATTTAAAAAAAATTAAACAAAATTAAACAAAATTTTTAAAAAAAATTAAACAAAATTGATTAAACAAAAATGGACAATTAACAAGAAATTATATTTGCCTTATCATATTATCACCAACTATGATCACCAACAGAACACATGAAAAATGAATATATATAGAGAGTAAATTTTCTAAATCTTTGATTTTAAAGAATAAATAATAACAAATTAAAAAGTAGAAAATTTTCTCTTAGGATATTTACATGAATCTCTAAAAAATTGTACACAGATATATGTAACACCAATATTTTTAAATATTTTTATATCATCTTAAAAATACTGTAAAAAATCTATAATAATACTTAAAAATGTTATATAATTTTAATTATCTCGTACTATGTATATGTAATATTGCATATTTGATTATAACAGTTTTTCAAATTATTTTCAATATACGCGGTTTCAGTTCGGTACAGTGCTGCCATCTGTACGCTGGGAAACCAAGTTATTAACTCTTGCATGGTCGATGATTCTCCATCTTGTTTCACATGTTAAATTTTGAGGTATTGCTTACAATAAAATGTAGTAACAAAAAAAAAAAAAAAACAAAAGAAAATAATGTAAAACTTACCGCTTACGAAGCTTATAGACCGGCAGAGACTTCCTTTGTTGTTGCAAATTAATGTTTCCTTTGTCTACATTTTCTGCTTGAATGTTTTGTTGATTATCCTCGAATTTTGAGATTTTGCTCGAACTTTCGTTAAACACAACGGTTGTAGGACGTTTCGATGCTAATTTCGAGAAGCTCGAATTACCGATAACAATATACTTTGAATCTGCGTTGTCGTGGACTCCCATGTCGCCGAAATTTAAAGTAACGACGACGACTCACTAACAGCAAACGTCCACGAACACGCACGTGTTGCACACTACAGCTGTGTACAAATACGCAGCCATGCTTGACAGGCATTGCAACCAATGGCGTAGCCTTCTTAATTTATGTCGTATTATGTTAAATACATTTTCTTCAAATATAAAAATATTAATTATCCAATCATCAAATTCATTTTTCTAATATACAATAAATATTAAATAATATATTAATATTATATAATAAGTAAATTCACGTATTATTAGAAATTAAAAGCAAACTGACTAAATAAAGTTATCTAATCGTCGAATCCATTTTTCTAATATGCAACAAGTGCAATAAATTTTCTAATATGCAATTATAAATTAGAAATTGACTAAACAAAATTTTACCAAAAAAAACAATAATTTCCTTCTTTTGCGCTTGAAACGAGATCATATTTTTTAATTATATTTTTTACGAAAACTAATACATACATAAAGGGTGTTCTAAATTTCAAACGTTAAACTTTGCCAACATGTTTGGAATTATTTTAGACAAAAAATTTTATAGTGAAGGTACTTTTAATGATTATTATTTATTTTAAATTATATTATTAAGCGATTTATATTTAAATAATATTATTAGTGATTGATACTGATTCAGATTGATTTATACAGATTCAAAATGATCAGCTTTTATCTCTAGTATACATGCAAGAGAACTTTCACTGCATATTAGCAAGATTGTTATTAATGATAGTATCTTTGATCTTCTTTATCAACGAGTATTAGAGTTTCCACTGAAATGTACTTTTGATAATCATCAAAAGTTAAATAGCTTCAGTATATCTAATTACTCATGGCTACCACGTTTCCATTCGTATCTTGAAAATGAAGATAAGTCAGCCCACATAATATTATATATAACATTTTTTACTCAAAATGACTTTCCAAACACATTGGCAAAAATTGACAATTGGGAATACCTTGTATAAAATAATCTTTGTTAACAAAATACTTAACACTTCTTGAATAAAAAATGTTTTTAATACATTTTATCACATTTTATAATATAAAAGAATATATAAGCTTTTATTTGTTAATCGTTTTGTTATAATAAAAAGAATTATATAATATGCTATTATATCCTAAATTAACATTTATAGGTGTAAAAAATGTAATGCAAAATAAATTATAACATTTGGTTTCATTCAATTGTACATTGTTAAACATGCACATAAAGATACGCTTAAATACATGTATTAAACAAGTAATTTAAAACCCTTATATAGATTTTCTTTTAAACAAGAGGTAGAAAATAATTCTTGATTCATTCATGTTACAGATATATTACATATTGTATTATTAAGTCGATCGTGTTTCATTCATTCAAAATCGCATTATTATCAATATTCATAATTACAATAAATGGATATAATAAATATATATATATATATTATATATATATATATCTTTGTCAATAATTTGTCATCATGCAGATATTAACTTCTTAATAAAAGATGCTTTTTGATTTGTTAAAAATCAATTATATATAATTCAAACTATAATTCAAACGTATTGATTTCGAAATTATCACAGATACCGTGTAACAGGAAGACACAGTGAGCAACTCTTTTTACAGAGATTTTCAATGAATGTAGCTATTTGTATTTTAAATTTATCTAAATAAAATGCATCATCGTAATGGCCGATGAATCGGTGTTTTTATATTAGGCGGTACCTGAAAATACGAAAAGTATTATATATTAATTACATTTCGAAAAGTGTTATATCAACTACATGTATTTAAATTAATTTATTATTTTTGAATTATGTTTCAAAGATATTACCATTTCTCCGATACGAGAAAGATAACGATTTCTAATACTAATATCGGATTGTGGTTGTAAAAGATCGTCAGTCGATAAATCTGAAGTAGATTCCGAAGTCAATAACTTCTCTCTTTCAAGACTTTCTGGTGTTCGTTGAATTTGTTCATATTTTTCTCTCTGACTTGGTGTCATGTTCAGATAACCACCAGTAGTTGCTGCATCCGATACCCAGATTGCAACAGCAGTTATCAACGAAACTGTAAAAATATGAATTATAAATTGCTATACAAACATTTATATCATTAAAAATATTAAGTAAAGGAAAACATACTCCATAGCCAACCCAAGAAAAACATCTCAAGCATAAAATATCCACCATGATCAACAATTATACCAGCTAGTATTGAAACTACGGCCAAACCCAAATTTTGTACAGCTTGTGCACTGTAAATAAAGGATTTTGTAAGATCAACAATTCAAATATTTCAAAGATGTTTCAAGAGAGTGTTGTAATTTTACTTACATTCCGTAAGCAGTACCAAGCTGATATTCTGGAGTAACAAGTGCTATCAATGGCCATAAACTACTAGCGAGCATAGAGTATGCTAATCCCATAAGAATCATGCATACATAAGGATTTACATATGTGAATGCGAGTAGTCCATGAGCTACTATAGTTACAAGAACACTAATAAACACCCAGGAAACATTTTTTCCAGTTTTATCAACAAGATAACCCAGTATGGGAGATGCAATAGCTGATATGAAATACACAAGGGAATTAACAGTATTTGCATTTGATGGTTCAAACGCATACTTTCGTTCAAAAAATACTCTAAGAAAAAGGATTAAAACATAGCATTATGACATACCGTGTTATAACATAGTATGTAGTAAAATACAGACATAGAGACGGGTTGTTATTCATACTTACTTTCCCAATGCGACAAATGGAAATATTGCGACATAATAAGCAATGCAAATGAGAGCAATCAACCAAAATATTAGCTTAAAATCTTTAACGTCTGTTAAACTAACGGCTTCAGTTTCTTGTCCCTCCCCTCTTCTTAATAATCGCTCAGCACGCTTGTCCATAATACCCAGTACACATGCACAGATCATAGAAATCACACAAGTAAGAGCGGCAAGAAAGAGAGCTATGCCAATACATTCTGGTCCTTTGTAATACTGAGATACATAATTATAAATTGGTTCCATTACTAAAAAGTTCACAGTTGATCCTACTCTAGCGAAACTTAGTTGCAAACCAAACACCAAGTTCAACTCCTTTCCTTTAAACCACAGAACAGCATAACTATTTTGAGCAACAGCTAATGATTCTGCACCAATGCTGTAAAAAGTATCAAAATTAATATCGAAATCACAAAATATTTCAAATACCTTATAAAAAGAAACATACCCAAAAACAAAGCGACCAACCATCATTAACCAAAAGGTATTAATTGTAGCACCAGTTGCAAATATAATCTGACCGATTAATGTAAGTCCCATATATATAATTGTTCCTAGACGTATGCCAAATACGCTGTCTAATAAAAATCCACCAATAAAACAAAGGATCACGTTAGGCCACGAGTAAATAGAATATAATAAAACAAATTGGCTAGTTGGCATTTGTAGGTCAGTTTTAAAATTATCTTGCAAAGCACCAGGATTGTCGAAACAAAAGTAAGAACCTGTAAATAAAATTCATTTCGTTTAATTAATTGATACATTTGATGAAAATGCAGTTGCGTGATGTGTGATCATCTTAAAGAGGTCTATGACCTAAATGCTTTAGGCGTTAGAAAAAACGTTGCTAAAACAATCCGAGTTGGCGCAAAAACGTTTTATCTTTACCTTTACCATATATATCCCCAACATTATATCAACATTAAGAATAGTAAAATAATATTTTGCGGACAAAAGAATAACAACATGATGATATGGCTTATCTCGTTGTCAAGTCTTAACAAAACAGTCTCGCTGTACAAAACTTACACAATTGCATATTTTATGTTTGTTGGATAAATTATGGAAGGAAACTAAACAAGATTTGTACACAATATTTACAAAAATCATTGTTTTTCATAAATCAATGAAAAAGAAAAATAAGTACGATTTTATATTTCTTGAGAAGCTTGCTTTATATATATGTATATATATATTTTATCTTTATGTATATTTCATTAAATGAATAGTTCAAAATTCAAAATTTTTATATATGAACTTTCTTCACATCACAAAAAGAAATTAATAATCATAATTAAAAAAGATAATCATAAAAAATGAAAAATGTAATGACGTTAGAGAAGTAGATTAAATTAACGTGATTGTTTTGTTTATTGTTATCTTACAATTACATGCACTTTTAATGTATGATAAAAGAATTTTTAAATTGCACTTCATCATAATAGATAGTAAATATCAAAGTACAAATTTTAATGTCTACAAAAAAAAAAAAAATTGAATGGGCATCGTAAGGTAAACAAAATTATTGCATGCTTAAAGTAAAATATTTCACAAAGAATTTAATCAGAAAAAAAAGAAAGTTGAATATATTGGTCATTTCAGATAGCCAAGTTCAAACACTTTTAATGAGGCCATAATATACCGTAACAGACATAAACAATGGCTACTTGGTCATGGAAAAATAATATAAAAAATGACAATCGTACCAAAGCCTAACAGGCACATTAACGTCAGGCCAAAAACCTTGTGTAGTGATTTTTTTGGACTGCAGAATCCTTGCAAGGCAATCTCATCATCGGATCTATCTAGAGTAGCCTCTGGATTTTCTAATATGCCTCCTTCCATTGTTACGGTCAAATGTGATGTTTAAATGTTTACAAGTGTCAGGCACAACTACAGATGCATGGAATTACAAAAGTTCACTCGAGTTCACTCGTGCCAATCCATCACACATTGATCAAACATACACGAACTAATCTCTCTGTGAAATAAGGTAGGTACAACTCGAGTAATAAAAAATATGGGATCAACCCATGAATGCTGCCGTTTAACTGACTTCAACAAGTTGAGTAGGCTGCCAGTCGTATCATTGCTAATCTGTCAATCACATGCGTCATACAAGTGAACTAACGTAAGCCACGAATCTGTCGAATACCAAAAGATCAACAAAAAATTCTCTATTCGTTGGGATAGACGATGAGCGTCAGTTGGAATTGCTACCAACAATTTGACGCATCTCTGTCGCTCGATTTTCCGATCTGTGGCGCCCCCATTAAAACCACTAGTAAACTAGTCGGTAAGAACGCTACGAGGAAAACGGCCGCAACTGATTTTCAAAAATCTATTTAACAAACGTAACTTATTTAAGATACATATTGGTTACTTAACGCTAAACGTAAACATATGAAACGTATGTTATATTATCTTATACGTAGAGATCGAGATAAAAAGAGTCGCATTTGGAAACATCATTCTCGCTCGGCTTGTTAGGAAGCTACTTCCTCCGTTGCACCTTCGAACTCGAGCTTCACTTGACACTCGTCTGGTAGTCCTTCAACATCCACTTCCGATTCCGAAGCGTTTAACATATTTAATGTTACGTCTGCCGATTTTCCCATTAATCCTTGATTTCCTGTCTGCTGCTTCGATACCTGAACCGTCGATTGTTGCGTCGACTGTTGAGAAAGTATTTGTTGCCTGATCGGAACGCCAGCTTCCTCAAAAGCTTTCTTCTTCAGTGTTGTCCGAATCTGAGAGCTAAAAAGTTGAAGGAAACCGATTAATTTTAAGGTCGAGACTGACGAAAAGAAATTGAGGAACAACCGTGGGCTCGATGCAGCCTTATTCACTTACACCGTTCGTCCCTTGATGTGTTCACTTATTTTGTTCAAATCTTCGCTGAAGGTCTTTACCGAGTGACGGAGCATCTCAATTTCCTCGTCAGTCCATTTACTACAGATTAAGCGACACAAAGAGTTATGTAGAAATACAGCCAGCCTTTTTTTTTTTTTTGCAATAAAGCGATAGCGACGCGAAAGTATTTACTTATTTCATTATTCGATTTCTAAACTTTTACGAGTGTAAAAGACGAGAAAAATTTCGTACGATATCTTCATCTACGTGTATTGACGATTTGTTAATAAAGAAATTAAAAGTGATACAAATGTAAATAATATTTAAGTTAAAAAAGAAAGTGATAATAACATCTTTATTAATTGTTAATTGCGACAAATGAAAAATTCAAAATTTTTTTTTTAGTTTTTCATAGTTGAACAATGTTTTTCATTGGTTAATACACCGCACCACGTGACATTCTCCCGCGTTTCTCCGACGTACATACACAACGTCATGTAAATTAAAGCGAAAGCGTTAGCGCTACTATTTATGACAGAAAAACGATTGCGTGTGTATATTTTTTTAATTACCCTGCCGGTGAATCTGTTGTAGGGTGCAATTGCATCGTTAATTCTCCCAGCTTGTTAAACGCTGCTCCGGCTGCGGTGAAAATTTCACCAACCTAAAAAAACAATTAATCTTTAAAATGCTAGTTAGTTTTTCAAATATGCAACTAGTTCTGACATAGAATTTCCCCGCGATTTTTCATCGAACTACCACACGAACACAACTTACGCCAACTTAGCAAAAAAAAAAAAAAAAAAAAAAAAAAAAAAAAAAAGATTAAAAAATATAGACGATCATAACCTAACCTTGTGCCCGCTTACAGTCTCCATTGCTAGAATATTGAAGGGTAAAAGCACGTGACTCACGTAGAAAAAGGAAGACGAGCGGTGGGGGAGAACGGCCGTTAAGTATTATATGGCGGGAAACTGCCTAAAATTGGCGACAACGGCTGTCTTTTCACTTACCTTGCTCGCAGAGTTCATGTCAGTTTGTTGTTGTGCTCGTGTTTCGCCATCAGCGGAACGTTTATACAGTATTGCCATCTCGCGTCGTTTTCGGAATCTTTTTCTTTTAGGCAATGATAACCCCTACACGTTCGATTTATCCTTTTTGTTTCTCCTTTCTCGTTATTACACCACAGTTGTAGACAGAGTTTTTATCTTTAATTGAAATAGTTTTGTATTTATTTGTACATTGAAACATTTGCATTAGAACCGAACAATATCGGAATCGATATCGCGATTTACAGTACTTACTGAAGCACTCTGATTTTTAATTTGAATTGATTTCGTACAATATTAAATAGAATAGACTTTTTGAATAATCTAGCATATATATATAGTACTTATGTATAGTACTTATGTATCACTGATTCATTGTGATTTACAAATGTAATATTTAATAAAATGTACGAAGATAATAAAAATCTATTCAAAGATTGTTATTATCTTAGAAAATGGAGAACAGAATATGTATAAAAATAAAAAATACTTTTTTCTAAGGATAAATTACTCGAAATGTTAAAAATCTCGAAACCTAACTTTTCGAGAATTCGAAACTTTATAACTTTTTCATGATTCGAAAGTCTTGAAACTCAGATAAGAGAAAATATAAAATTAATTAATTTTTTTTCATTTACAGTGTGAATAAAGAAGGTTTGAAGCGAGATGCTTTGGTTTTTGTTTCGGTGGTCAATCGTATATCTAGAGCGATAACAAATATTCAAATCTAGAAAAATTATTAAAAAATATTTTAGCACACCATCAACAATACACTCTGAAAGACTTTTCAGTATACCCGACAAAAAAAGAAATAAATTAGATCCAGTAAAAGTTAGGATATTAATATTTTTAAACAAGAATTTGTATTTCTGCTTATATTTTGTTTAACTATGGCCATATAAAGGTATTAACTCTAGAAATCCCACTTACAAAATAAAACCAGCACTTCAAGTTTCCAGAGATTTAAGTTTCCTCAATAAAGTATCGAATTCGAGAATATACTTTTAATTTAGAAACACTTATTACTTGTGTATTACAAAAAGAAATACGGTATGTATTATTATTCAGCATAAAGTTTATATAAATATAATAGGAATATAAAAGGAATCTCCCAAATCTTATATTCTCATTTTGTAAATATTTAAAAGAAAAACTTATAGAAAATAAAATCTTATAAAAAATAAAATATGTATAAAAGAGAATATTTCAAGGTTCTTAAATAACTCACGATAAAAAAAATACAATATTCCTCACAATCTTGTTTCAGATCATGACAAAATGACCAGTCCTTAAAAAAAGTTGTTTACTGTTTTTACAATTGAACGTATATATTAGTCAATTTAATAGTGCATTAAATAATAAATGAAGGATAAACTGATGACACAAATTTATTTTTATATATTTTCATAAACTGATGACACAAATTTATTTTTATATATTTTCAATTATAAACTTGAAAAGAAATTAGAAATGATTCGTAGTTGTATAGTTTCTTTCAATCGCATACACGACACACGCGTACATACACGTTATTTCTAAATATATAAATAATATTGTCAAGTCGTCGTTATAAACGATTAGAAATACTGGCTATTCTGTAGCGAGTTGAATGTTACAGCTGTCCAACGTAATTTGAAATTGATGATTGAACGCGAATGAATAATTGAAGAATCACGACTTATCTGACGTAAACTGATACAAATACGATACCGAAAATAACAGCGTTTCTTCACGAGGATAAAACCGAGTCTCGTTGAAAATTTTACTGATTCTGACCGAAGAAATTATTATTTCTGCCCGCGCGGCCGCCCGCGAGCCTGTTTTTATTAAAATATGCGCGTTCAGTTTTTATTTGTTCCATTATACGATGATCAATGATCAGAGAAAGTGCAGTCCTTACTTTTCCTCTCATGATGTGTCGTTTAGCATATTCTGTCGGACCGAACACTTTCCTAAAAATATTACAAACTGGTGTTGTTCCAGATTTGGAACTTTCGTCTATTTTTTCCCAAACTGTTCGGTCAGAAGCAATTTCGGTATGCTGGTCCTTTAGATCACTCTCACTTTTAGAATTCAATGATAATCTCCTTCTCTTTTGTACTCTACGTTTATTTATAATATTCTCCTTTTCGTTATTGCTGTCTGAAAACTCTTATTCGTCTGTTGTAAATAGGTCATCGTCTCTTTTCATGTTGTCTTCAGTTTCGGAAAGGTAGTTCTGTTCTGAATACTGAAATCTGAATACTCTTCGTCTACGTTGTTTATTTTTTTCTAATAATTTCATGTTTTTGGACATTTTAAATTTTTACAACTTTGGAGAGAATAGTATCCTTATTCGCTATATGGTATTACACGATCTTTCTTTACAAAGTTATATCATTTTATCGACAATTTTTCATTATCACTGGTACAATTATGCTGTTTGCTGTCTTAAAAAATTAACGAAATTAATGTTGAGGAAAAAGTCTCTTTTCTCATAAGTTTATTTGAAAACGTTCTAAACGCCGTAGAAACCATAAATTTCAAATCATGATTAAATACAGTCACGTTTATCTGAAAAAATTATACGACGAGATAGGATAAGGATAATACCATAAATCTCTTGTTTTGCATATTGAAGTACTCTCGACGAGCAAAATGTTAGCAGGATTTGTCGACGAAGCAGTTTCTAAATGGATAAGACGATTACATAAAATCTCTGCACGATAAAAACATCGTTTTGAAGTTCACTTGTTTGGCAGACATGTTTTTGAAGTTGAACAAATTAAATTTACTCGGACGTAACAGACAAAGCTAATACGTTTGCAATTTTATTTATGGAAACAAAATAAAATATATATTTTTTAATAAAGTTGCAAAAAAAAAAGGATTATTATATTCAATCTTCCTAAATATCCATTTTGAGAAACGCGAAGAATGTCCTAATCATTCTAATCTCTCTCTAAAACTGCATCGTTGTAAATGTATAAAATTTACGAGAAATATTACTTTGGTAATATTCCAGTGTCAAATATAATTTAATTCAATTCATTAGCGGGAAAGAAATCCTTCATATGGCACAGTGAATACATCACGAGCAAATGATACAAAATAAATAAGAGAAAAAAAAAACACGACATGTAAAAATAAAAACTGAAAAATGTAATTAAAAAAAAAAAAATTTATGACAAACTAATCCGTGTCAAGACAATCGGTTATGCAGATTGTTTTCCTACCCATTAAATAATTTGTAGAATTAGAAAAATCTATTTACAGAATTGCAAATACTTGCGATTGGATTCGTGAAACGTTAAATATAAATAAATATAAGTATAATATGAACGATACGGGAAAATGTTTCAAACAAAAGTTGTAAATCCTACAGCGTATTAAGGGGATATTTTGGTAATCCGGCTTAAAAAAATCAATTTTTCTTTTTACATTTTCTCGAAAGTATATGCTTTCGAAAATGTTTGTGTAAAAGGATTTGAATTTGTAAAATTAGCCAAATTATAGATGTTTAAAGGAAACGGTGTACTGCTCGCAACGTAAGTACGAATATTTTTGTACAATACAAAACACTTCAAATGTGTTTTTTTCAAAAAATATTTCATTTTATTATTTATATTATTATTTATTTTTTGTATTATTATTATTTTATAATATTTTATTTTCTGTACTGTTCGATTGATTGCAAGTATGAATATTTTTGTACAACGAGTAACAAAAACTTCAAATGTGTTTTTTTCAAAAATATTTCATTTTATAATATTATTATTTATATTATTATTTATTTTTTGTATTATTATTATTTTATAATATTTTATTTTCTGTACTGTTCAATTGATTGTAAGTATGAATATTTTTGTACAACGAGTAACAAAAAATTCAAATGTGTTTTTTTCAAAAAATATTTCATTTTATAATATTATTATTTATATTATTATTATTTTATAAAAGCTTCAAATGTGTTTTTCTCAAATCCATATTATTTAAACTGACTGACGGGATATCTCACGTTATAGTTGACCGATTGACTTGAAATTTGGAGAAGATATTCACCGGATGTACCTTTATCGCATGAACCACGGATTTCAAAATCCGATGTTTTCTTCTATTTTTTTTTACCACCTGAAAGACGAAAGGTACAAGGAAAATCGATATTTTAACTTCAAAATGCTGTCATTTTTTTGAATTTTCGAAATTTCCCTGTTTCCGTGGTTCATGCGGTAGCCACATTTATACCAATTAAGATGCATTTTGGTTTTTTAGTTTCAAATAACCCAATACCAGGTGGACCGGAATCGGCCATTCGAATCCGTTTTTAGCCCTTTGCGGTCGTATATCTGCTCTCAGCCACCACAGCAAGTGAACCACTCTAATCTTATACTGTATTCATCCATGCATCAGTTTACACTTTCTATGAACGAACCTAAATGTCTAAAGACCCTATTCACGAACCAATACGGTGCTCCTATCAATTGGAGATAACGAAACCGAGTCTAAAAGCTGTCACCCCCCATGCAAGACGCCGTGGCAAGTCAGTCGCCTCTTGAGCGTAAAGAAATCGACAAGGTTCGAAGATACTTTGTAGAATTCCAAATAATATTTTACAAATTGTGTTTAACTGTAATTAGGCATTCTCGCTTCTTAAGATATTTCAAAATAATACACCAAAATGGCAAAAAGATAGTTACCGAATAACCTACCAAGCACTAATAAGAAGCAAATTGGACTATGGATCAATAGTATATAATTTAGCCAAACCTAACATAATCAAAATAATAGAACCCATCCAAAACACAGCACTCAGATTAGCCACATGAAGCACACTATTTGAAGCCAAGGAAATGCCCCTCGAACAGAGAAGAAAATTACTAAGCCTAAGATACGCTATAAAAATAGCGTCAACACCGAATAACCCATCATACAACAACACCTTTGCCGACAGACTAATAAACCACCACAACAGAAACTCAAGACTCACCGGCACCATTCCGTACAAGACTAAAAAAAATATCCCAATACAACAGAAATCACTTCAACACCTATTATCGAACGCAACCACGGAAAAATAGCCTCATGGATATTAAAAACGCCAGAAACAAACACCGACCTGGCTATCCAAAAAAAAAAAAAATGAAAAAAATAACATAGAACACAAACAGGATTTCCAGAAACTAAACAACACCTACAAGAACTACCACAAGATATATACAGACGCCTCCAAAACTAAACACGGAATAGGATTCGCAATAGTCACAGAAAACTCCACCAAAAAACAACGACTCTCTAAACACACATTCATTCTGACCGCTGAAGCATACGCGATACTTGAAGCACTACGGCACATCCATGAAAACAAATATCAATCAGCGGTAATCTATACAGATTCGTTGACTACAATAAACCCGACAACAAACATCAATAGCAACAAAAAGAACGAAGTCATACAAATGATCTAGGAAACCTATACCGAACTTACTAATGACCACAAACATAAAATAATCACCTGGATCCCGTCACACCAGGGAATCGAAGGAAACGAACAAGCCGACTTCTTAGCCAAAGAAGCAACAATCGACCAAACAAAAGAAACCAACATCCCAATCCCACACCAAGACCTACCAGCTTCAACGACCAAAGCGGAAAGAGACGAATGGAACAGAATTTGGACTACGACAAATAGAACCAAAATACATGACATAGCACACCATTTCTATCAAAAAATACCAAATAACAATCTAAGCAGAAAAGAAAGGATAGCTATGACCAGGCTTTGAATAGGACACTCCAAGATCACACGCGAATACCTCCTAACTAAAACAGAACCTCCTTTCTGCAACACCTGCAACCTACAAATCACCACCCAGCATCTGCTACATGAATGCAGAAAATACCGAAGCGTAAGAAGTAAATATGGATTAAACGAAAACACCGCTCTAACCTGCCAGAAACGACAAAAAAACGTTATCAACTACCTAAAGGAGACCCAACTACTAGACCAGTTATAAAGAGTCAATTTTCAACACGTCGCTAAGGACCTCGTATTCGATGCGATGCTGAACCTTCATTTAAAAAAAAAAAAAATATAGAATAAACAAAAATTATTTCGAGTTGTAATAATCTGTTATAGACTCTGCATAATTTGCAATTTCTGGTTCTGTTACAGTAATCTTTTTAACAATCTGTCAATTACTTCTGCTTCTATTGGACTAGCACTTCTATTGGGCCGCAAATGAGAAGATTCTTCTTGCCTCTTCGACAACATCTTCTTTAATTCTTTCTGCTTCTTCGCATTGATTGATCCATTCTGTCACTTGTTCGTCAGAAATTGTTCCATACGCTGCACCGTGCGGAGCAGTTTCTAACGAGGAATGTTTCTTCCAGCCCATCTCGTTTCTCGATTAAGGATTTTACCCCAGGAATCGAATATGTTCAAAGAAAGCATAGCGTTCCACGTTTCATTTATTAAGTCTATACAATCCTTTATGTCATAATCGGCATAGAATTCTGACGGTCCGTTTTCATATTGAAAGAAGCGTTGTAACAATCTATGCCGGAATCGTTTTTTTAAATCTTGTAATTACACCTTGCTCCATTGGTTGGATCAGGGAACTGGTATTGGGCGGTAAAAACATGAGTTTGAAATGACCATTGTCCATTTCCTCCTCTGGTAAATTATGGCTACTAAAGTTGTCTACTATCAGTAAAACCTTACCATTATTATTTTCTTCCAATTGCCGCCTCCTAACGTAGGGTTTAAACTCATTGTGGTACCAGAATTGAAAAATTTCGGTATTCATCCAGGCATTCTCGTTGTGAGTGTATTTCACAGGTAAATGATTTATACAGTGCTTTAGCGCTCTAGGTTTCTCATGTTTGTTGATCACAAGTAAGGGTAGCCTGTGGCTTCCGGTTGCGTTTGAACATAACGCTAGTGTAGCTTTATCATATTTAATCTTTTCCTCCGACTCTCTTTTAACTCCTTTTTCATTTGCACCCGTCAGTACCTGCTTGGGGAGCATCCTCCAAAATAAACTTGTTTCGTCCATGTGATGCAGATTATCATCACCGATTTCAAATTCTTCCTGTATTTGCAAATATTGTTGTATAAATGGTTTCGTCCGTATCGTCTCTCTCACTGTAGATATTTGCACGGGTTGGATTATAATTTTTTTTTGAACCGCCAAAGTCAGCCTCTACATGGTGTGAAACAGAATGGGTCGCCATTTTCCTCGTGCATTGCTTTCACCTTTTTCATCAATATTTTGAATGTAGATGATTTTGCACATTAGTATAATGTTTTGAAGCGAACGATAAGACAAATTCGACAAAATGCTTCGTTAATACGATAATTTACAGAGGGAGAGTTTAAACTGCAAAAAGAAAAAAAGAATGCGTTCATCTATTTCTGCCGAGTTAGAAAGAGAATTGTATTTATGGGTATTATGGGTGGTATTGTATTTATTGTATAATAATAATTAATAATTAAATAATAATAATAATGAATAATGAATAATAATTAACAGACACAAGAACAAAATAATTATTTGAAAATAAAAATCAGTTGATAGTTGTTAAGAGAGAAAGAAGTAAACTATACTGAAAGATATTGTTTGCCATTCGGAAGGATTTTCACGAAAGATAATATTCCAGAGTGCACGTGGACAAAACATTTTCTCGTTCACGGTTCCTGCAGAAAGAGACATGAGTGACAACGGTTCAAAGGTGGCGTATTTATATAAATTTAATTTTATAATTCATTTTAATATTAATAGTTCTATACTTAAAATTTAATACTATGTCTGAAAAGAAAATAAATTGTAAATTTATTTATAAAGATTTTAATTTTTTTAATATTATTATAAATTAAAATTTATACATATAATATTTTTTTAATTTTGAAGATTAATAGTTTATTCGACTTAAAATTTTTAATAATATTAATTAATATTAAATTTCTTTAAATTTGCAATTTAATGTTTTAAACTATAATTAAAATTATTAATAAAATTAAATATAATAAATAGAAATAAAAATATAATTATAAAAGTGAAATTATTGTAAGTAAATTTATCTTTTTATTAATTTATAAATAAATATAAATGTTACATATGAAAATTGTTTTGAAATAATTAAATATTTTCATAATAATCTAAATAATAGATATAATAAATATAAATATGATTGATGAAAATTTATTAAATTTAATTATTTCATATAAAAAATTCCATTTCAATATAAATCTAAATAGTAATGGTTCTCGCCGTTCTTTCGAGGAAAACTCTAGCCCGGTTTTCGGGTGAAATACTTGGATACTTGTGGGTAAAAAGCGGCCTGTCTGGGGCCGGGCACAAAAAAAAAAAAAAGTGTGGCCTGCACGAGACCCGATACTCACTGGCAGCTTGCCTGCCTTGCTCCACTCTAGAGTATCCTTCGTACAATCTTCGTTATCTCGTATATCGTACCGCGTGCCTTTGCACCGGCCAGCAGGCACATCTGCCGCAGCCGAAGAAAAAGGAAATTGCTGGCAACGAGGCCCGTGGTCCGTGAAGAATGGGCCCTGTGTTCTCTTGGACCGGTGCGCGTGTATGCTATACACCTAACACCTGCTCCTCTCTCTTTCTCTCTCTCTCTTCCTATCTCTGTCTTTCTCCTTTCTTTGTTGATTACCTCATGCCATACGCGTTGATTGCGAATCAGGGAGTGAAACAGAAATAATAAAGAAATGACGAAGCCAGGGCTTGTGCTGCTCGTCCATTCGACCCTTCGGTTACCGGTTATTTGATCCTTGCGTGCCTCATGATGAACGTTGATTTATTTGAAATTTCCGGCAACTGACACATCACGTCAATGGAATCAATATTTTTCGATATTGGCTGTGTGTTTGGTTATCGTTTTTGCAAACGCGTTGCATTTGACGTTTAGGATCATTCAAGTTGTCAAAATTATGAGTTTGAAACTACTTTGAGGGAAAAATTTTTGCCGATTTCAACGTCCTCGAGATATACAGGGTGTCCATAAAGTCCAATTTACAATTTCAAAAATTTATTACGGAGGCAAATGAAAAGACAGATAAGTGGAAATTATTACAAAATAAGACGTGTATATTCAAGTTTTTTTTTTTTTTTTTTGCTTCATTTACCTTGTATTATTTGGAATTACAAAACAAATGATCCTCTGGTTTAGATTTGTCCCTTACCTTTATTCGATACACGATATCTTTAACATAACCCCGTGTGAGTGTCCATAAAGTCTTTTTTTATTCTCTTTAAATGGATTTCCAAACTACCTTTACTTTGTACTAGAAATATTTAAAAAAGAGATTGGTTTATTTATTAAAGATTTATTAAAGGAATATAGTGTATTCGTTATGTATTTGTTATGTACTCTTCATTTAGTATTAAACTTTCAGGCTATTGATAATTTTAAACACCCAAAGGATCCAAGAATTAAATATCTAAACTAATCTTGGTAACTTTAAGCACTCAGAAAGAATTAAACAAATAATTTAAATCAAAACAATTTAAAAAATTAAATATCTTAAACTAATCGCAAACTTTCACACATGATACCACGAGATAAAATATGTTTAACCTCTTGTGCTGGTGTTGGATGATCAACCCGGACAATATTGAATCTATGCAAATACTGACAATGAGTTAGCAACAGTCCACATAAAATGTTAATATTATTAATACTATCAGTCTATTACTCTATTTTAATATTATTAAATTTATATGGATGGAAATTTATATTAAATTTATGTGGACTGTGAATAGCTAGGGCAAGATCCAATAGTTGGTCATCTATGCTCTTTCCCCTTCCACTTGACGATGATAACCAAATCTATATAAGGACATGCTTTAGAGACATTCGATAGCATAAAACATTTTAAATCATTATAGAGACATTCTCATATCATTAAGAGCATAAAACATTCTAAATCATTCTATATCAAGAGCATTAAACATTGTAAATCATTCTATATCATTCTATTTCGTACACGACCACGACTGTAAGGGAATAAACTCTTCTAAATTATATAAGCGTGTTGACTCTATTACAGTGGAATCTAACACTGGAATGACGTGCTATGCACGTCGAGAATTTCTTGCCCCAAAATTGCAATATTTTTTCAGTTTTAATTATACTTAAGTAAAACAAAATAAGCAAAACAAATAAAAAAAAAAATTACTTCGCAATAATTTTTATCCAACGATAAATCGTACCATTGCCGACGAGTTCGAAAAGAAAGCGACGAATTCTTGTATACGGTTTGGTCACTCGTTATGGTCCGCAATCAGTTGCCAGCGCAAGAGGTTAAATTAACCTATAAAGACTACAAAAGAAAAATACAACAGTTAGAAGAAAATCCGTTAAATTTACAATTACGGGCGGGATATTAATCGAAGAAATATTCCAAACCATAACACCGACATAAAAGTGAGTTTCTCCGCGAGTGGGAAGACAATACATCATCGATTTCTCAGACCTTCTTCTGTGGCCGAGAGCACGAGCACGAGCACGAACACAGCAATCCTACATTTATTTGGGTCGTGGACACCGGCAAATTATCTCCTCGATCCTTCCGCTCTTACGACGTCTCTGACCCCCATTCCTTCTTCGTTATCAGTCTTTATCACGTATTTACAATCGTTTTGCACTTTACTCGTGCATTATTTCTAAGCAATGCTCGCCAAGTTTTACGAAACTGTCGTGCAGACGACAATATACGTGCTGAAATCATTGTTGCCACCTAAAGAGCTTCTCACATAATGGTTTCAATGGTAACCGATGATTTAATCCTTTTGTATCTTAATGAGATCGCGTTTTATTATCTTAATAGATTTCTTAAAGATTTAATTATATTGTGCAACAATACCTTAATATATTTTGATGTGGTATTGTAGTTATTATTTTATATTGTTTTAATTTAATTTGTTCTTTTTATTTAAACTATCGGAAAAAAATATAGAACTTTCTAAAACATTTAAAATTAACTCATTTGTAGAATTATTAAAGTTGTCAATACTTAAATAATATTATATATATTCTTTTTTATGCAAAGTATTTACATGTGACTAATTTGAATAAAAATTACATTACATTACATTTCGTTATTTGAATTGTTTTGTTCGAAATCTAAAACTAAAGAACCAATACCAGTATAATTACGTTAACGTCAGAATTGGCAAAATAGTTAAAATAACCAATCTACAATTTTTTATGTGATCAATAAATGAAACAATGAATATAAAATCATTTTATAATACAATATTGCATAATGTTTTACACAATTTCGTCTTGATTCGATGATTTAGAAATCAGTTATACATTTTAAGTGTCTTTTCATAGATAATAAATTTCCAAAGTGAATTTTTTCAAGGTCAATTATTCGACATGTAAACGCATTAACGTAATGTTACATAGCAATATTAATAATATAAATTTAATAATATTAAAATAGATTAATAGACTAACAGTATTAACAATATTAACATTTATTAAGAAAAAATAAACGGAGAAACTAATGTTAGAACTTTGAATTTTATAGAGTTGACTAACAATTCAAACAAAAATAGCAGATAATCTTCTGTTTCTCACAAACTCAGACTACATTGAATATTCTATTTTATTCGTTTCATTCTATCCGCGGAATATATTTTTAAACGAGTTATTTATGAACTTGGAATTAATTGTCAATTATCTGGTGGCTCGACAGATTTTGGGAAATGTCTGGAGACGTGGCGCAGGGATCGCCGCGTAAGGAAAGGCAGGAAGATAAGACGGATCCGGGCGCTAGCAGGCACGGGAACTTCATGAATTATTACCAATTCCATCCTGCGGAAGAGCGCGTGCGACAACTTCCGTGTGGCGTGTGGCGGTCGGCCCATCCGGACCGGAAATACGTAGGCCTAGACGTCGGTTGTAACGCGGGGGTAAGACTGAAACAGCTGTCAGACGAAATGGGACGAGTCGACCGTGATCCGAAATTACAAACGACAACCGTCTAAATTTAGCCGGCGTGTCCCTTTTTGAAAACCGTTCGGAACACGGTTCCTCCCGGAAATTCCTAATTTAGAGAAACAGACATCTCCTTTTATTAGTAACATAATTAAATTATCTCACAATGGTCGTTTATCAAAGATTTTTAACGATTAATATCATAACTAATTGATGCTATTTAAAGTATAATTGTCGAGTTCAAATAGGAAATTATTTCATTAAAAAAAAAGATCATTTATTACATTTTAAACTCCTCATCTCTAAACCGTCATTATTTGTTTTTTTTTTTTTATAACAGTTCGACGTAATGATAAAAAAATTAGTGAGAAAGTGAATGGTTACAACTTACAAACTTTATTAACAATAAACGGATCAAATTTCTACTATTCAACTGCATGTAAAACAAATCCTGTTTGTATTATGATTTTGTTTTCTCTAATTTTTATTCAACGTTACGATCATTTTTATTTTGAATTTGTTACAATTATGTTCTAAAACTATAAATGCTTAGACGTATCTTTTCAAGAAGGTGATAGGTATAATAATAATAATTAAAAAGTTAAAAATGAATATTATTTGAAACTGTGGCAGCATTATTTTATGAATATAATATAATATAATATATAATATATTTATTATTTATTATATAATATATAATATTATGTTATAATAGAACATATAATATATTTTATCAGAATGTCGAAAATATGTCATATGTTGTACATTAGAAAATAGAAAAAGTTATATTTGGAATATCCATATGATGTAGTATTTTATAAAAAATGTGTCAATTTGACACAAGGAACAAACGAGGATTAACAGAAGTTATTAATGTTCAATTTGATCTGTAAAATTTTGGTTGAATTATTCAATATTATCATTAAATTAATTTTTCCATTAATTTACTGAAAATATTCGCTAAACAAAAAAAAAAAAGAGAAATTAGAAAAAGAGTAAAGAAAATCGATACATAAATAAATTCATAGATTTTTTTAGTTATTAAAAGACAACTTTATTTATTCATTAGTTATTCATTATCCTTGATTTTGGATATCGAAACTCTTATCAATTGAACAGAAGAGTTGAATTTTATTATTTGTATTAACTTTATCAAATGTCTGCCATTGACAATTTTAATAATTAATATCTATGATCAAAGTTTGAAAGTCATACCTACTATTTTTATCGTGACATTCGTAATAATAATTATTATTAACTATGTGCAATTTAATTAGTCAATGCATTTTGAAACATTGATAATTATTTAATTATTATTTTAACTGTTCCGTGAAAAAGAATGAATTTACATCTACGGTTGCATAAATAGTCCTTTCATTTAATTACAGCATACATATTATTTTTAATAATTCGACACTATGTTTTTCTATAATTTTTATATAATCGATCACCAATTTCAATACATATTCAACAAAAAAATTGTCCCTTGAATAAAAAAATTTACATCAAAATAAAAATTATCATTGTATTGTATAGCAAATACCAATATTATAGCAATACTAGTAACAAGGAGTCGTTATCGCGTGTTATAAAATAACAAACATTCAATGAAGACAATTCCATTTTTTTTTTTTTTTTCTTTTACAAATCTCATTAAAAATCAAATATTCAAGGAAATTCAATTAATCTAATTGAAAGAATTCTCCGAAATGTAAAAGAAGTTTCTTTTTTGACCAGAAAAAAACGCGTAAAAATCACAAATGGTGTTACTGATTTCAGGATTTAACATACGTGTTGTACGACTTCCTCGAGAACACCTTATCGGTCGATCGAGGTCTACCCAAGGAGATCTGTTTGCTCGGCATAGACCTCGATCCGATCCTAATCGAGCGGGCACGGGAACGCAATCCACGGCCGGATCGTATTATTTTTGAATGCCTCGATTTCTTGGCGGAAGATTGTAATCGAACACTGGACGAATATCTTCGTCGATTGGAAAGGGCACGCTTCGACGTCGTGTTTTGTTTTTCAATTACCATGTGGATCCACTTGAATCACGGAGACGAAGGGCTGACAGAATTTTTGCGGAAAGCTTGTTCGATCACGGACATGATCGTGATCGAACCGCAACATTGGAAATGTTACAGAAACGCGTCGAGAAGGCTCCGACGATCGAAAGGGGAAGACTTTCCATTATTGCAAACGTTGAGGCTCACTGGCGATCCAGCGGCGCACATTGAACGCATATTGACTGAATCTTGCAATTTTCGAAGAATCACGGTTACCGAGAACAACGAGTGGAAACGGAGACTATTAATTTATGCGAGAACGTGAGCCATCACTCTCACTCCAGAGATTGATGGGATTCCGTGCTGTATGTTAATCGACATCAATAAGTGAACGAAGATCTTTTTGTGCGAGCATATTTGATTTATACGATTGTCGAAATAATTTTTGGTAACTTAAACCTATCACGACCGGTCAAATTGACCGTTTTCAAACTTTCGTACAATTTTCACATATTTAAACATTGTCACATCGCTATCAATTTTTTACGACTTTTCCAAAAATATACGTACGTTGTATTTTTCAATATTTGCTACTTGTTTTATTTTATTTTTTTCTTCTGGGAAATATATGTATGCAGCTTGCCTTATCTAGAGCGACCGGTCGAGAAAATATAATATAATAAGTAAATATGTGATATTTACATATTATATTTTTATAATTTTTATATTGTGACGAATTATTATGATATTATATTTTTATATTTGTCGTATCATGACGAAAGTATGATGTTACATGTGAATGGTTTGGAACAACGTTTCATCGAGACAGATGTACACAAATTGCAGAGTTGGGTGCAAAACAGTACAATTTTATAACTACAGGAAAGAGCATCAAAGTATATAATTTCTAAAATGTTTCCTTTGCATCTCATGTTACAAGTGCTAATTTGAAAAAAAGGAAAAGTAAACCAGCAATACCTTGACGTAAATTTTGTATTTTATTTCGTATATAGTGCATTATTCTGTAGCAAATATTGATCCTAAAATGTCAAGGCATTCCAAAAATGTGAAGTTATTAGAAAAAATAAACAACATAGATGAAGAGTATTCAGATTTCAGTATCCAGAACAGGACCTTTCCGAAACTGAAGACAACATGAAAAGAGACGATGATCTATTTACAACAGACGAATAAGAGTTTTCAGACAGCAATAACGAAAAGGAGAATATTATAAATAAACGTAGAGTACAAAAGAGAAGGAGATTATCATTGAATTCTAAAAGTGAGAGTGATCTAAAGGACCAGCATACCGAAATTGCTTCTGACCGAACAGTTTGGGAAAAAATAGACGAAAGTTCCAAACCTGGAACAACACCAGTTTGTAATATTTTTAGGAAAGTGTTCGGTCCGACAGAATATGCTAAACGACACATCATGAGAGGAAAAGTAAGGACTGCACTTTCTCTGATCATTGATCATCGTATAATGGAACAAATAAAAACTGAACGCGCATATTTTAATAAAAACAGGCTCGCGGGCGGCCGCGCGGGCAGAAATAATAATTTCTTCGGTCAGAATCAGTAAAATTTTCAACAAGACTCGGTTTTATCCTCGTGAAGAAACGCTGTTATTTTCGGTATCGTATTTGTATCAGTTTACGTCAGATAAGTCGTGATTCTTCAATTATTAACATTCGCGTTCAATCATCAATTTCAAGTTACGTTGGACAAGCTGTCCACAGCTGTAACATTCAACTCGCTACAGAATAGCCAGTATTTCTAATCGTTTATAACGACGACTTGACAATATTATTTATATATTTAGAAATAACGTGTATGTACGCGT